CTTCAAAATCCAATAACTTCTTCATTCCAACTTAGAATCCAGTAAGCAGTATGTGAAAAGTATAGCCGCAAAAGTGCTCTCTCCAATCGCGGTCGCCGATCCTCAATTGCCATCTGTACGCGTGCGTTATGCCTAAAAGAGTGACAGTAGGTCCAAAACTAATACCTTAACTTTGAGCGCCTATAACTTCTTCATAAAAATCCCAAATGACACAAAACTTGCACCAAAACCTTAACCAAAAACCTAAACCTTCTGACCCTAGCCTTCAAAGTTCGAATGCTCTTGAGAAAAAAACCCTAATCCCTAATATGGCCTTGAGCAGCCTCCTCAAAGCCCATTGGTCATGATTTTTGACCAATAGGAATGGAGATTTTTTTATTTTTCATCTCCATTCATCTATATTGGTGCCCTAATTACTCCCTTTGCTACCAAAATCCTTCTTCAATCCTTTTTCTTATAAGATGTACATAATTTATGCTCTAAACACCAAATAAAAGAACCAAAATAAGTTTTCAAATGTCACCAATGTCTAACAAAGGTGACTCTAAATATTTAGAAGTTACTATCAACCAAAACCAATCTTAAAAGCCACTACCAAAAGGAAATTAAAGTTATAAAAATTCTATAATAATCTTTTTAAACAACCTCTTCTCAAGGTAATAATTAAATTATATTCTAAAACCAACTAAAATCTACTAACATGGCTCTCACCATGTTACTTAATAAATTATATATTAAGTAAATAATTACATTATTTTCAAATAGTAGCCAAACCACAATACGACAACGTAGTCTTCTATTCATATCCTTCTTTGATACGTACCAAATTGTATGCTCTCCATATATCTACTTTTATATAGATCTTAGCTTGATTCAACTAATTAAGAAGTCAAGATATCAAAGGTAGCAGATGCTTGTTTTTTATAGTGATTTTGTTGAGTCCTCGATGATTGACATATATCCGCAATGATCCATCTTTTTTTTTCACAAATAAAATTGGAGCTATCGCTTGAAATTTAGAATGGCATATGAAGTTCTTAGCCAAATTCTCTTCAATATACTCCTTGAGTTCAGCCAACTCATTTTGAGATAAATTATAGATTGGTCCAAATAGCGGTTGTGCTCTTTCTTGAAGGTCAATTGAGTAGTCATAGGAATGACGTTCTAGAAGAGTATCTGCTTTCTTTTTCTCAAATACATCTTAAAAATCTTGATATTGGCTTAGAATGCCACTTGATTCTTTCCACCAGTAGAAATAGGTGTGGCATATATGATACAAGGTGATCCTTCTTTTGCAGCATGCAAAAAAGTACTTGCACCTACAAATATAGGTTTAATTATACTAGACTTATGACTTTTTACTTGATTAACTACACTCTTAGTTATACTTTCAGAAAAGTCAAGACTACAAAAAATCCAATCTATTTTAGGATTATATTTTTTTAGCCATGATAAACCTAAAATAACTGGATTAAAAAGAAATTTAATGATATTAAATATTACAAAGCTACTATGACTATTAATTGCTATTTCTATAGGAAAGATTTCATGAGTAACATCTCCTGAAGACAATGGATGACCATCTATGACTTCTACATGAATAGGTTTAGTTTTCTTTACTAAAAATATGGTATGTCTTTTAGCAAATTTTTCATCTAAGAAAGATGTTGAGGCTCTTGAATCTAGAAAGGCAAAGGCTTTGAAATATTTAGGTCTTAGAATAATATTTATCGTAAAACATGGAGAGGGTTCTGAGGAGAGGATAGGACCTTCACTATGCATTATATAAGATTCCAACCGCTTCGTCCCTATTGTAGCTAGACAAATTTGTTTTTCGACATGCTATCTCCTTTAATCACCGTACTCCTCATTTTATGGTTGCATCGCTTCTTTGGGCAATGTTAAATAGTGTGCTTAGGTTATCCACAATATAAGCACAATCCTTCTTGACGACGAGTCTTTTCTTGCTCAGTAAGAGGTTTGAAACGTACGACATTAATTTTTATATCCTCTACTTCTAAATATATGAGTTGAATAGATATTGGTATTCCCATTGAATTATAGTAACGTTGAGGTCTACTTGTATGGTTCTCAGATCGGAATTCAAAAAAATAATTGTCGCACTTCACAGCAAAGTCAATTGCTTGACTCAATGTTTGAGGATCAGGTAAGTTGAGCATTAATTTTTTTACCTCATATTATAATCCGTACAGAAATTGGCTAATAAGTGCTACATCATCCCACTTGATATTAGTTGCAAGTTATCAAAATTGTGAAGCATACAATGTTATTGATCGATTACCTTGTCGTAAAATACGGATCTTATTGATTGCAACACGAATTGCATCATGTTTTCCATACATGGATCAAAACTCTGCCAAAAAAGCCTCTAGATTATCCAATATTGGATCTTGTCATTCAAGAAAAGATGAAAACCATTTGTATTGTATTGTATTTGTATTTAAAGAATATTCTTTAGCTCTCAAACATATCTTTTGAAAATAGCTTCATTTGCGTCACACTTTTTGTGACAATGACATGGATTCATCAAGTACTTTTGTAAAAAACTTATAAGTATAATATTATTACTTCTATCACAATTACTTCTACCACAATTTGCCATCCACTATATGCTACTATAATTTTGGCTACTACCACTACAATCCACTATTCAACTACAATGAGTAATTCAACAAACAGAGGTTGTTGTGAAAAAGATGACTTTATACATGATTATAAATTGATAGTTACAATTACCATCAACTCTTGTTATGGTTAACCTCTTTAGAGTCAAATTTAGATTATAGTTAATTCATTTTTTCCATCCCAATTTACACTACTAAAAGTAACCTACACTATATAACCAATATTTTATTTGGTCATGAGAGGTTGACTATAATAAGGGCTGACTCTACTTGTAAAGTTTTTCTTTCTTTGTTTGTTGAAAATTTTTTTTCTTCTTATATATATATATATATATATATATATATTTCTAGATTTTTAATCATTTTATTTAAATTATTATTAAATAAATAATAATTAAGAATTCTTTAGAAATATTAAATTTTTAGCAACTAAATAGACAAAGAAAAATTAAAAAGACTTTTTAGTAAGTATTCTGTAAAATAAATGGTTGAAGTTACAAATATGATCTATTGATAAAAAAAAATTATATAGATTAAAGCAAGTAATTAAAAAGTACATGATTTTGTGGTATTTGATATTGAAAAATACTAAAAAAAACATCCAAAGCTGATAGTTTTATAGATAGAAAGTTAAAATTGATTTTTTACATCTCCAAGCTCTAAAAGTTTTTTATTTTAAAAAAATTTTAGTAAATAAATGTATTTAAAATAGGAATAAAAATAATATAAAAATAGCTATGAATTCTACATGGTTTAATATTTTTTTAATTTAGAAGTATTTTAGAAGAAAAAAACTCATCAAACTACCCAAAATATTAAAAAAAAAATACTGTTACATTGTAATATTATAAACTATCATGCAATATTTCATTTTACTTATATAAAAATAAATAAATTAAAATTTTATTTCAGAGTTTTGATTTTTTAAATTTTTATAACAAGATTAAATATGAATTACTTCAATTTTTTATTATAAATTTTTAAAAAATAAAATAAAGATATTATTTTTTTAATGAAATTTCACTGGATCTGTTTATTCATCTTTAGTAAGTTTTTAGATTTAGAAGATCATATATGGTTATATTTTTAGATTATAATTTTATTTTCCAGTTTATTTCTTTAAAATAGATACCAAAGCACTAATTTAGATCAGACAAAATCAAACAATCACGCATAATTATTATTTTTATTGAATTTAATTATTTAAAGTTATTTTCAAATTCTACTTTATTAAGATGATAAAAATTCTGATAATTTATATGTTCTTTATTTTACAATCATCACCAACTTGATATGAATTTAGCTAAATCTAATCAAAGAAACTGATCTTGAACAATCCCATATCCAAATTGAGTGCAATGTTTCAAGAATATTGAAAACTGTAAGTGAAGAGTCTTTAAAAGTTTATTATTTTAATCCATGTCCAAATTGAGCTATTAATAATTCAGTTCTGTGGAACACCGAGTCCAAAAATAAATACTCTATCAGCTTGTCTTTGATTCAATTCAAGAATATCAATTTCAAAACTTTGATAATCATCCCACTTGATTAATTGAGATGATATTAAACATTGTCCAAATTAAATTATAGTTTGTCTTTTGAACACATAGGTTCATGATTAACAAACTCAAACTCATCTTGTTGTGCATAAAATTATTCGAGTTTATCCCACTACTTTGCTCGTTCTTGGAGAAACCCATTTCAATTTATTTATTTTTTTTAATTTTTTAATTTTTTTTTTTTATGGTTTTATCATTTCATCTTCAAGTCTTGCTCTTCATTCTAAATCTCTTCAATTTACCTTTCTGTATCTTTTGTGTATCTTCCTCCTACTCAGCACATACATTAGAAGCTGATTTTTTTTTTTTCATCCTGCATATTTGGCAAATTTAAAGAGTTATTGATATCTTCAATATATGTATATATATATATATATATATATGTTACGCAGATAACAATATCACTTTCATTACACAACCTAAATTTACTTCTTTTAAATATCATTTGATATCCTCATCAATATGTATATATATATATATATATATATATATATGTTATTTTCTTCTTGACACATCCTATATTTTCAGAAAATTTAACAGAATCCTTAGGGTTCGGTTTCTATTGAATTTTTTTTCAATAATATTAAATCAACAAGAGTCGACCATCAACAGTAAAGCTTTCTCAGGGATGGCTGCAGGGATCCGAACCGTCAACCATTTGCAGAGTAACTCATACCCCGATCACGATTTCCACGGTCATCGTTTACCGGGTATAAATGACCTGATCCGGTTATTTAGGGGAATCTATTGCGGGGTATCAATTCATTTGAAATTTGAAACGGAGGAATCGTCTACATCCGCCGAATCGACCATGAGGCGGCGTTCGGCCTGCGAGGAGATGGTGATTCGTGAGAGTGTGAATGCTTGAGTGCCGATTGATTTGCCTTAAATTCAGCGTTGCTTCGCGTAGATTTGGTTGGGGTTTTCGAAGGTAAAGTCTTTGTTGTGTGTTCCTTCGAATTTTCTGTGCTGGTGGGGAGCTGAGAAATCTTGTTGCAGGGGAAGTGCTTGATGATTTCCAGCTTTTTGCATCTCCGTCCCCAATAATCCTCAGTTGGTCCTCAGTTGGTACGTGATTTTCTTTGATGATTTTGCTGCTAATTTTGTGTGACACGTGTGCGAGAAGCGTTCTTGTCTATTGTGGTTTTAAGGTATGTGTAATTGTGTTGGTAGGCTTTTTATTGGTTACTGGACAGTGAAATTTGTGCGCGATTCGCATTGCTTCCGATCGTCCTGCTTGTGAAATCGTTGGAGCTTTGAGTGAATTGTAACCGTTATGATAGGTCGCGGGAATTGGGTGTGTGGATCAGGGTGGATCAATCGCTACAGATGGGTGAATCGGGGAACTCGTCGGGAAGCGTTGACGTGCGAAGATCGAGTAGACTTTTAAAGAAGCAGATTGATGGGCTGATGAAGACACTTAGCTTGGTAGATGAGTCGGAAGAGATAGAAATGGAGGAAGATGAAGAGGAGTGGGCACCTAGAGCAGGTAAGAGTGGAGCCGGTAGGGTCATGGCGAAGAGAGGCGAGAGGGAAACGAGCGCTACGAGCTCCAGCCAACGGAGGACGAATAGGAACCATGCTGAGGTGAGAGAAAGGTGTGCATCCGCGGCATTGGGCACAACGAGCGCCCCCGGTTCTATTAAGCCGATTTCCGGATGAGATGTAGATACTGAACTGGAGGTGGTGCAGACTGGGATGGGATTGTTTCACATGATGCGCGGTGACTGGGTTGACGGTGATTCACGTGCCACGAAAGTTGGCTTGAACGCATTGGTGAGGAAAATAAATATAGAAATATTGAGAGACAAGGAACGGACTCCTGCTGGTGGTAGAACGAGTGCCCCTATTTCTTCGAGTTGAATTCTGGGAAAGTTGAAGGAACAGAGACCAAGAAGGTGTAGATGGGGTGGGGTTTTATCCATGTGATGCACGACGACTGGATGTACGACGGTTCATGTGCTGCAGGAACTAACGTGGACGCTGTATCGCAGGAAACTGCAGTTGTGGATCCGATCAAGGAAGATGTAATGAAGAAGTCTTTTGTGCCCAGTGTATCGCAACTGGACGAAGTGATCGACCTAAGCTGTGACGAGATTAGGTGTATTCTCTAACACTCTCGAATAGATGCATGAGAAATGATTCACCGATGATTGTCACAGGCTGATATGATAAGGCCGCGCTCTTGATAATGATAAGATTCGTGGAATGGTGAAGATTGTGAAAGCATATCGTGTGTGCTGGGTTATATTTTTACATAGTCAATTTATTTTGACCTGTCACCATTACCTGAAGTGTTGATGTTGATCCAGTGATGACAGTGACGATGGAGACAGCTCTTCAGACTACGAAAGTGGAGGAGAACAAGAACTAATCGCACCACTCAGTCATGAAGATGCAGGACTATTTGCTGAAGTGATGAAAGTAATTAAAGGTACGCGGTTGGTTTTGATTCTGAAAATCGTTTTCAATCTGTGCAAGTGCCAGGATTATTATTAGACGAGCTGAGACGTTTAGCAAGCTGGAGATACACATCAAATACCTCAATGTAATTTGGAACTGTAGCGGGTATATTTTTGTATTTACTAACTATGATGGAGCCCGACTATTTCTTGTATTATTGCTGTGTAGAAGGAAGTGATCTAAAGAAGCCCAAAGTCGAACATCTGAAAGCATATTTGCGAAATTATGGGTTACGCATGGTTGGTGTGAAAGCTATCCTCTTGAGTCGTGTTCAAGAACACTTGAGGTACAACACTTGTATTTCTTCTAGTTATACCACATGTAATGTAAAGGTACTTTGCAAGCTATGGTTCAGTCATCTCTTGCCGCATTATTATGACGGTGACGAGGATAAGTTCGGGTACACGGTTAACTGAACTTTAGTCATTCCACTGAGTTTGGCCTGGTGCGTCAATCACTAGTAACCCTATGGGCATTAGGTGAGAAGCGGCCGGTTAAGCACCGATGTATATCAGGCTCGTAGTGCTTCTCTATATCTAACTTGTTGCGCTCTGGGTATTCCAGAATCAAGGATGGACAAGGAGAAGATATATATCCAAGATCGTCTTTTACAATAAACTGCAAGGGTGATGTTCAGTGCAGTACCTGATGTTCGTCTAGTGTTACCACCCCTGTTTGTCTCTGTCACTTTTCCTTATCTTCCCAATCGTGTCTATTATTTTCCAGAATGAAAGTCATGTGGTTTTTGTTCTTTCACGTGAATTCTGTTTTGAAACAGTGAATGTATACTTGCAGGTGACGTATGTCTTGGAGACATTGTGCTGTTTCTGCAGAATGTTTATGATATGTGAGGCCCTGGACACTTTTGCCTGATTCCTGATCTGTCATACTAGTGAGATTTATGTGTTGCAGCAGTTTGGGAAAGGTTTTGGTCGCTAGCAATTACATAAGTTGGTATGTTAAGGATATATTTCAGTAAAGGACTTGAAGTCGTTGAAAGTAATTACATTTCAATTCAGAGGTTAAATCCCTAGACAGCCCCTTGGGTAAAGCAATGTCATTGCGTGGGAAACGGTTTGAGTATATTGGTCAACCTTTCTCTTAGAGTTGCTTCTTCTCATTCTCTCTTTGGATTGGGTAGGCCGTTTGCAATTCAGAGACGAGGTGCGAGTGGTCCTCCCTTGGGAAAGCGTTGGGTGGCTGGCAAAGTTGTAAATGAGAGTTATGGTGCTGCAAAGCAGCAGCACACATTCACAGTGAGTGGCTTACGTGGTTTTCAAGGGTGTGTCTCGTAACGCTTGTTTGCGTTCTAGACTTGCCCGTTAGTAGGCTTGTGAAATTTTCAATAACGTTTTACATTTGAACGTTTTCATGTACTGTCGATTCTGGGTATAAATAGTGCTTTCACTCTCATTCGAATCTGCTTAGCCTACTATCAGTCCTATTGGTCACTGTCATCCGTCATCTTACAGATTGAAGTTCTGTGGAGCACGGGTACCAGGCCATTTTACGTCATGCGCCCCCTTCTAATCAAAGGCCGCAATTTGTATCGTATGAGCACTCTCAGACAGGTATTATGTTCTGCTCCATTGCACTTCTTCACTTTTCAGCCTCGAACCAGGTTACGAAGACAGTATTTATTATAGAATTGACTTTGTACTTCGAGATTTTTTTCCAAATAGGAATTCTTAATCTATTGATAAAGTCTGGTGTGTGCATTGATTTTCAAACAGAGGGTTTGATACCTGATACTTATTTCATCGTTTAGTAGTCATTGTTCATGTTCTTTCACAATGAGCATGAGATCAAAAATTAATTGAAGTATTCAAAAATGCATTATGCCCTACTTTCTAGTCTTCCCCTTGTTTGTGTTTGTAGTTCTTTTGAAAATTCCTGTTAAGTTGTTATTTAAGTGTAACACATTATCCAAGTAAATCATTACAAGTTGTGGGAGTGTAGTAATTCCATAACTATGACAAATGGTACATCGTTATAATTTATGCAGCCATGGAGTAACGAAGCAGAGAGGCAAAAGGTGTTGGAGGAAAAGCATGCTCGTGGTGCAAAAGCTCGTGCGCTCAGACGGGGTGTGAAGGCATCGAGGTTAAAAGGTCTTTAACTACACGTATCATCCTCCGTGTTTGATTACCCTGCTTTTGACTCATAAACTTTTGGTCAATACTGTTTGTTTATCCTCGGAACCTTTTTCCAACTCGCTTTGCTTGTTTCTATCCTCCGAGTGCTTTTGTACAATAATTTTTCCTCTGTGAGACACCTCAAAGGCTAAATATTGTAGATGAGCCTTAATTAGATTTCGAGGCCTTAATTCTGCATCTGTTGTGTAGGTTTGTTGTGTCAGTTGCACAGCTCCCATATTGAAGCATTCGTTCTACGAAATGAAACCGGAAGGCTTGTCAGGTATTTGTTGCTTGAAAATAAAAGTAAATTCATGTACTGACTTAATCTTTTCCACTCCTAGTTTCTCGTACGAAAGCAGGGACGTCTACATCATGGTCGGGCTCAAGGGAAAGCTCACGTACTCGAGATCGCCCAGCGGCAAAAGTCTGGGGACTTGACCCGACAAGCCGTCCTTCGCAACATGAAAGGATAAACAACCAACGTAATGACTACCGATGTCAAGACAGGATTGCCTCACACGCACAAAATCGAGATCGCCCAACGGCACAAGATAGATTTCATCCCACAGCGTCTTCTTTCCACAACGCTTTGCAACATGGGAGGGTTCATACTCAGCAGCAATTCTATCAAAGCGGGTTGGGGGCACACCCAGTCCCCTTGAATCATGTCCGTGAACGAGAAATTTTACATATCGCCTGTTCCACTGCTGAATGTGATAAGGCCGGTGCGAAGCAGTGCATAACGCGGGCATGTGCCTCATGCTGTTACAGGAGTAACTCGTCGAGAGGGAGATGCTCTAGACATCTGTAAGGCTTTCACCATCTTTTATTCTTGCTTGAGAAGTTCTGATGGTCTCTATTCAATCCGATCTAGATATCCAGTACTTATCATGAGAATTGATCCAACCCCCACCCATGTTTATAGGCCGTGTAGCATTTTCAAGGTGCTTTCATGTGGACACATACGTATTACTTTCCACATGCCTAGGCATGATTTCGAGCCTCATGTCTTGTTTTATTTTCTCTATTATTGGTGTTTTTTGAGGTTTGGCACATGTAAACATCTATCGTGTCTAAAGTTGCACATGTTAACAATGTACGACATTTCGAGTGACTTACCTTCGCTGCCCAGAAACTCGTAGAATGGGTTTTGATTCAACCTTGTGCCTTGTAGATGAATGGAAAGTTTACCAGACACTGATTGAAGTCATTGAAGCTGATCCTGAGCCCTGTAAAGCGAGGATTTGCATCATTTAGTTTAAGGATTTAACACCATTTGTGAAGAATGCCGCTTGGATTGGAGCGCAGACTACTGATGCGCTTTTCACCCTTTGTGGTCAAGTTTGTGTGCCTACTAGAACTCTTTATACATCTGTATATCAATTTGAACGAAATATATCTTTGTAATTTTACTGTACTGCAAATAGAAGAGAGATTACAATCTGAAACCTTAGAGAAAATATACATGTATACAGTTACTAGCAAAATTTACCGTGTTAGTTGTTAGTTTCTAAAGTGTGTAGGATTTTGAAGATGTTTTTGTGTGCTCATTGATTGTTGTTGTAAAAGAGTAAAAATAATTCCGATTAAATTTGTCAGTTTTTGTAGTCTTTTAATACTAGAGTCAATTTCATATATATTTAATTGTAATTAAATATAATCAAAGATTCATATAATTGTATGTTTATTACCAACAATATAAAATATTCATGTACATATAAATCACAAAAAAATATATACATGTAAAAACTTGTTTCAACAACAATAATTTAGGAATAATAAAGGAAAAAAACCAAATGCATTGGTAATGATACAATCATTTTTAACGCTTAATATTTAATAAAGAACTTAACTATTTATTTTTAATTAAAACAAAATTTGGTTTAATTTTTTTAATCCGATAATTTAATTAATTATATATTTACATATACATAATTCAATATATCATTTATAGTTTCTTAGGTAGTATAATGTAATTTTAGTATATTTTATTTTGTATTTTTGGTTTTGAAATATAAGTATATTATAACAAAGAATTAATAAGCATAAAATTGGTTATAAAAGCTATTACTTATTTAACTTTTAAGTAAATTTTTTCCACTATCATAACCTTAAATCTTGTAACATCATAAATAAAATGAACAAGTTTAAACCATATAAAAATTGATAACTAATATTATAATTATAACCTTAAACTATTATATGATTTAACATTTTATTTGTTTCTAGGCAATATGTTTTATGCCAAAAAACTTACATATATATATAAATATATATATGTATAATTATTATTCATAAAAATATTTAAATTGAAATTAAAGGTACTTATTAACTTATAAACTTATAAACTATATATACATATAAATAAATAAAAATAAATCATCAAATTACAATAATATATACTATTATTATTTTAAAGAAGAAAATATCATATATATGTTCTTGCATATGTTTAAATGTTAAGAATACCCCTGTATTCTTGATAATAGCAAATATATCCTTAGAATTTTTGATAGTAGCAAATGTATCCTTCAATATGATAATGTATCACCAATCTAACAAAGGAGCAATAATTCTCATGGATTTTGTTACTTTTTTTTTAATTTCATATGGGGCCCAAACTAAATGTCTTTATGCTGCGCCTTTAAGATTTCATCCGATTGTAATCATAAAGGAGCCTATTGCCTGAATATTGTGTAATCTTAGGCAACTGCGACTCTCTTCTCTGCAACTCCCTTGTCAACTATTGCTACTATGTTGTCTTTCCTGCAAGAAGAGATTTGTAAGAGCATGACTACCATAACAATGGTGATATTGCACACTTATTGGATATAAAAGGGGTTTTGTCAAAGCACAAGTGCAGTAACAATAGTGATGTAGCACTCACACATCAAAGCCAATATCAAAGGTACATTGGAACTAAAGGTATATCAGTGCCTCACCTAGATTGTATGGCAATAATGGAGGATAAATGGATTGTGAAGAAGAGATCCACAACAATCTAAGATTGCACAACATATGGGTAATAGGCTCATCCACAATCTAACAAGGCAAAATCATAAAAGCATGCGGTTTGGGTCATACATGAAACAAAAAAAGTAATGAAATCTATGAGAATTGTTGTGCCTTAGTCAAGTTGCTGATACATTATCAGATTCAAGGATACATTTGCTATTATAAAAAATTCTAGGGATATATTTGATATTATTAAGAATTCAAGGATATTCTTAATATTTTAGAATATTTGAGGGATATATATATATATATATATATATATATATATATGATATTTTCTCTTTTAAAGATTATAATATTATTATATACTTATGTATATTATTTTAAAATTTTAAATATAATATTATTAATATTAAGAAGTTATTTGATTTTCTTTTGAAGTTATTTGATTTTTTATAATTATTTCAAAAAAGTATTAAATTGACTTCTATTATTTTATTTTATTTTTAATTTTTTAAAAAATCTAAAGTATCTGTAAGTAATATCATATATATAAACATACACACTATACAGATTATGCACTAAGTTAGTAGAATATTAGATAGTAATTTTTAATGTTGTGATAAACATCAAAAATAACAAAAAATAATAAATATGTACTTTAAAATTTTAATTGTCATTTTTTTAAAAAAATAATAAAAAAATTGAAGTAAAATATTGTTACATATATGTCTATGTGTATGTATGTATGTATGTATATAATACACAATTGTGAATGATTTTGGATATGATTTTGTGTATTAAATCTTACAAAAATTTGAAATTTTATATTTTACATCAACTTAATCTAATGTTAATTTTATATAAAAAGAATATAAGTTATTCTTTATATTATAATATGGAGGTATTTGATAAGTAATTATAAAGAAATAGATTAGAAAATAACCACAAATTAATAGATTAGAATTTATCTCATTTGTTTAAAAAGATGCAATTTATAACTTATATTTTAATTATACAAGATTTTATTTGTGATTTTAATGAAATTCTAAATTCTTTTTAATTTGTAATAATGCTTAATACATATATTTTTTAATATTTATTAATATCCATCATTTAAATAAAAAATAGATATATAATTTAAAATAATTAGTTTATATATTTTTTAACAGTAGAAATTATTAGCAATGTGATTGCTTGTAGTATTGTGGTAGAAGGCGTATGTCACCTTCCACCCCTTTTTGCATCAATAAATGCATATTCAGTTTTGTAGATCCTATATATATATTTATATATTTATATATATATGTATATATAATATTTTATATTCAAGCATCATAGATTGAAGTTTTTTGTAGTAAATGTAAATGAAAAATTATATATATATATATATATATATATATATATATTTACTAAAGATATTATAAGTTATAGAGAATAAATGACAATTAGGTAGAATATTTATGTCTCATACAATAGGATTACAATTAATAAGCCCATAAGTTAAAGAGAGTAGGCATACTTATATTTAATTTATTTAAATATGCATTTTAATTTATCTTCATTGAAGATTTTTTTTTATGTATATTTATACCTATATATATACATATATATAAATAGTGGTCATAAACCAAATAAAGAATTTAAGAAAATTTTCATCTTTCAAGATGTTCTAATATAAATTGACACTCACTTCTTAAATATGATTTTTTATTTTTAATCTTATCAACATAATTTGTTTTTGTCCTTCTTTATTATTATGATTACAGATAAAAAGAATAATTTTATTTGTAGTTAAAGTAATAATAGACTACTTATATTAAAAAAATCCCATAGTTATAAATCAAGAGTAAATTAAATATAATAGACCAAGTTTAAATGAAAAGACTGTTTTTATTTTTGATTGTATATGATCAAATTACTACTTGGTACTTTAATATGCAAGAAAATTGACATGATTTTTGTCAAACTTATGATATTATTTATCATCTATTATTTTTTCCACCGTCTAAAGAAGTTTATGATTTAATTTGATTGTATAAATAACCTTATCAATAGTTTTATTATACACCATTTTGCTATTATTTAAAAATCTCATCTACATATATATATTTTTTACAAGTATTACTCCATTCTTCATTATTAAATATCTTTGCATTGCATTGTATCTATATTAGAGAGCATCAAAAAAAAATAATAATTATAATAATTTTTTTAAAATAATTGAAAGCAAATCATAGAGTACCAACATAAAATTCATTAGAGAATTCAATTTGCAAGAAAAATACAAATAAACTTAATTTTAAGAAAATATTGATTGAACACATTCATTAGTGGTAGGCTTAAAAGTCATAAGTCTACCTAAAGTTGTTCTCCAAAGGTGTCTTCTTCCAACTAGAATACAAAAATATAGAAAATAATAAAAAAAAGAGAGCCACAAACAAGGAAACAAATAAATATTGAATGAAATTATTTAATGAAATCATGTCCACCTCAATGAAAGAACCAATGAAGGGGACCGTTGTATTCACCATGCAACAATTAGTCTACTTAACTTTCCTCTTTGACATTTTCTCTAACGTATTCTCCTCCTCTGACACCCACAAACCGTATAAATAAATAAATAAATACACACACATACACACACACCCCTCTACGTACATACCACCAGATCCTTCCTGCAACGTTTTTCAACAAGTTCACTTTTTCTTTAGGATTTATGGGCAGTATTGTTGGCAGTTAAGGTTGCTCAGTCCAGGACCAACAGTGCCACGTCACGCCATGCCCTGCCGGGCTTGTGGGCGCCGGCTCCTACGACCAGTGATGATTGTCTGCAGGCGGGGGGGGGGTGCTGGGGCCCTGAGTCGGTAGCATTGAATGAGTTTCAGAGCTTTAATGGCGGATTGGGTTTCAACGCGGAGTTCAACTCGAGCCGACATCTTACTTGGCTATGGCTTTCCAATTGTCTGCCCCGTGCAGACCTGAGAGCTTTGATTTGCCTTGCCTTGCATTGGCTCCCACTTCTTCCATACCTTTATAAAACTGGCACCCCCCTTCGTAATCCCCTCCATCATCCACATTCTCAATCCATTCCTTGCTGCTGCTGCTGTTATTGTTGTCTCTTGTAGACTCCACGAATCTGTCACTTTCTGGAGTTAAACTGAAGTGTCGAAGTCCCTGAGCTTTCCTGCTCTCGACGACCGTGCTTGATCGTTGATCGTTCTCTAAGAGCTTCGACCAGATATCAGACTCACCCTTGACGAAAACTTGGTGTGAATTTGCCTCATTGTGACACCGCTGTGAAGAAGTAGAAGAATTTGAAGTAGTAGCAGAAGAAGAAGAAGAAGCAGACGCAAAGATGGGCTGCGGAGGTGAGGAAGGTGATGGCGGAGCCTCGAAGTTCAACTGGTCTTGGGTCGGAAAGAAAACTTAAGCAAAGTTTCGCAGCTTCGAATCTCATCTGTGAAGACTATCGCCGCCGAAGGCATGATTCTGTACATAGTGTGATACCTGGGGAATGAGCATACTTCGGTGTAAAGACGAATCGGAAGAAGTAGAGAAAAGGAAAGAAAAAAGAGAAAAACACACGGTTCATGAATTCACTAGAAGATCTCCAGCTCATTCGAGCAAGAATCATGAATCGAGGTCTTCATTCCTTTCGTTTTTTTAAGGCTCGGCGATAAATGGATGTCGGCGAACTGTAAAACTGCCAGTTTTGAACTTCGAAACATCGTTTTTGTGAAGTCGGACACCCTCGAACGGCGTGGCTTTTGCCGACTAGGCCATCGAGGTTAGGCGCCTAGTTTTTGTACATTTTGTAGATACAAAGATTATTTTGATCTCTTACGATTACTTGTTGATTATTACTCGAGAATGTTAGCCATCCCTATTACCATCTTGGTGGGAGAAAGTGAGCATCATTCGGATTACCTCGTAAATCTTCTCATGTTTGCTGTGTCCTGGCTGTGTTGGTGATGCAATGACCGTAAATTTCAAATTGTCTGAATATACATATTTTTGTGTCATTTGCTTGGAGAAATTCTCTTGGAGAATTAGAATGCAGATCGAGATTACTTCATGAAAATAACATAGCATTTCCCCATGATTTCAACTTTTGATATATCCCTGAAAATAATTTAAAAATGTCATACAGGTTTCATGTTGCAATATAATTGTGATTTTGCACGAATGTAAAAAGGATAGTTTAAAAGATACAAAATAAATAAATAAATAAATAAAAACTAACATTAATAGAATCTATATAACATGGACTTACCATACTATAAGTAAACATACCATTTTCTAATTCTCACTTTCAAAAAGTTTGAAAATTTTCATTTTATAAATATTAATTTTATAAATTTTAAATTCATTAATAAACAAGTATGACATATTTAAATGTTTTATTTATTTTTTAAATTTTTAAATTCATTAATAAATACAAATTTTAAATATAATACTCATATATTAAATAAATTATTTTAAAATTCAATTATCAAAAATTTAAAATTAAATATAAAATCAATAAAATATATATGATTATTTATTTAAAATTTAAATCAAAATACCTCTACACATACTAAGCATGAAAATATCTTGAAAAGACATAAAGAAAATGATGTGCAAATTATAAATATTTAGATTACAAGAAATCCAATTTATTTGAAGATTGCACTTTTTTAGCCATAATAAACCTAAAATAACTAGATTAGCAAAAGATCTAATAATATTAAATATCACTAAGCTATTATAATCATTTATTATTACATCTACATGAATAGTTTAATAGATAAAATCTTAAAAAGATAAAGAATGATTATTTAAAATTTCTATATGCACAAGATTAGTTTTCTTTACTAAAAGTATGTTATGGCTTTTAAATTTTTTTTTTTTTGAGGCTCCTAAATCTAAGAAGGTAAAAGCTTTGTGATTTTTGGATCCCAAAAAATATCTATTGTAAAACAAGGTGGAAGTTCTAAAGAGAGAATATGACCATTACTAGGTATTACACATGATTTCAACTGCATGGTTCCTATTGTACTTGGAGAAACTCATTTTCCAACACATTGTCTATTTTGATAGATGCTCTTTATTTTGTGATTGTGTTGCTTCTTTGAACAATGTTAAGTAATGTGTTTAAATTCTCCACAATATAAGTACAATTTTTTTTAACATTGGCAAATCTTTTCTTGCTTAATGAGAGGTTTAAAATATACTATATTAATTTGCATGCCTTCTATTTTTAAATGTATATATTAAAAAGATGCTGGTATTGCCAATGAGTTGTAAAGAAGTTGAGGCACACTTTTGTGGCTCTCAAATAGAAATTCAATAAGTTGATTGTCACATTATACAACAAAATCAATTGCTTGATTCAATATTTAAGGATCAAGTAAATTTAGCATCAATTTCTTTACCTTATACTACAATTCATAAAAAAATTGGCTAATGAGTGCAACATCATTCTATTTTTTATCAATTGCAAGTTGTTGAAATTATAAAGCATAGAATAATTCCAAATCATTGTCTTGACAAAAAATGCAAATCTTGTTGATTGTAATACAAATTGCATAATGTTCTCTTTAGATGGACCAAAATTTTGATAATTTCTTTTATTTTAAATAATCCAATATTGGAGCATATCTTTCAAGAAAAGATAAAAACCATAATAAAGCAAAACTTGAAAGAAATTTTATTAAATATTAGGCAATAATGTCAATTGCCTAATAATTCCACTACAATATTAGACAATTCCTTGAACCCTTCTTAAAACCATTGTATTTTCTAAATTTTTATAATTAAATAATCATTTTAATTTTTTTAACTATTTTTTTTCTATTGATGTAAACATAAAATATAGAAATCAGTATATTGGTGTAATAGTTTTTTTTAAAAAAACAATAACCTATATGTCCAATAATAAACTTATTAAAATAATCAATATTTTAAATTTTGTCTTTACATTCTTCTTAATTGGATGTGAATCATCAATTTTACATTTGAGTTGCTAGGAATATGTTACTATTCATTAAATACACATAACTTTCATCATACATATTATTCTTTAATTTCTTCAGTAATTTTGATTGTTCATACTTTTCATTGATACTACTCCAATTACTTATTTATTTATTTATTTCCTATTATGGTAGAATAACAGAAAAGAAAAGCTGATTTTAAATATTTTTGTATTTGGTGTTCTTCAATAAATGAATAAATATGTTAAAATATCATCATTAATATTTGGCACATATACTTTGGTCACGTCACTTACATCCATTATTATGTCTAGTAAACAATTAGAATGGTTTCTACATCTCTATACCTAATCTTCTACATGGAATACAAATGTGAGATAATATATATATATATATATATATATATCTACACACTTACACAAAAAAGAATTGTAGAAAAAAGAAGACTTACAAAAGAAGAAAGAAAACCTGATAGTAATAAGTACCCAATTATTTGGATACAACGTGGACGTCTACCATGAAGCAGCCACGTGAGCATCGATGCCGCAGACACCCGATGACGCAGTCGCGCGACAATTGGCGTCTAAAGGCGTTCACTTCCAAACCACCTCGAAGTCGGCCAAGTGCTCCTGCGAAGTTCCGTGACGGCCCGCTCCTCGGCCACGTAACTCCGCACGAATCCGTCTCGCGATCGGCGTCGTCGCCGCTGTTTTACTCAATTCTGTTACCCACTTCCCAGCGCTTGCGTACCCAGCTCCACAATTCAGCTAGAAATTCTGATTTCGAGAATGGAAAGAAGCGGAAAAGTAGGGTGTATTTGCCTGAGAAATGCTGACATTTGTCCGCAGACTGGTGACTCAATCCTAGAATCCTTCCGGCACCGGCCGAAGGATTCGTTTCTGGGTATGGAATTGGCGAATCCGAATTTTATTGGGAGAGCTGCAACTTCGGGGACGTTCAAGGATGTGGGATTGCGGAGTCTGCAAGGTTTACCGGATTTCGAGTCAGCCTTCGCCAGGTTGCTTCAAGGTTGCGTAGATTAGAAGGGATAATTGGGGAATCGTGGTGTCGGCTGATTGGCGGTTTTCTTTTTCTCTCGTGGTGGTAGTGTCTGAGATCGTTGAATAGCGATTTGATTCAGAATTGGTTGTATAAAGGTTTTGGGTTTTGCAGATGCAGGGTAGGAGTTTTTCCTTTAGGATGCCGTGGATTGACATGGGCAACAGTGGATCGTCTTCATCGAGCATTTACGAGCGCTCGGGGACTCAATTCCCCACTGCTCCGTCAATCCGAGCTCATGGGCCACCTTGCTATTCTATGAGTTCGCGATACTCTGTGATTCACGATAACTACAAGTCCTTGGAGGAGGTCCAGCGCGCCTTGCGAGACAACGGGTTGGAATCGTCTAACTTGATTGTTGGTATAGATTTTACGAAGAGCAACGAGTGGACAGGGAGAACGTCGTTTGGTGGGCGGAGTCTACACGTCATCGGACATGAGCAAAACCCTTACGAGAAAGCGATCAGCATAGTTGGGACGACGCTGTCTCCATTCGACGAGGATAACCTCATTCCCTGCTTCGGATTCGGGGATTCCACCACGCACGACAAGCATGTGTTCAGCTTTTTCGCCGATCACCGCCCCTGCGATGGCATGAAGGAGGCTCTAGTCCGCTACCGGGCAATTGCACCACATGTCCGTCTCGCTGGACCCACTTCGTTTGCACCCATCATCAACAAGGCAGTTGATATTGTCGAAGAAAGTGGTGGGCAATATCATGTTCTTGTGATCATCGCAGGTTCGTTTCTGATTCTACCTTCACGACTGCAGCCTTCAATTCTGTACTTTTCAATGGCCTACGATTTCCGTCGGATGACATGGTGATTGAAAACTTGCTTGGCTTTTCATAAAATCTTGAGTGTTGCGATGCAAATATTACCCGTGAAGCACGAACAGTGGATTTCATTTTCGGATGCTCTTTTCATGGTACTATTCATGGACTTTCGATTGTCAGATTCTGAAGAGGGAAGAAATTTTTAGGGTTACTTGTATGTGCTCACATGGGATTGCTTATTTGAAATGTCACAGATGGACAGCTAGAAGGTCCTCAAGAGCGGGCGACAGTAGACGCAATTGTGAACGCAAGCTATTACCCACTGTCCATCGTGCTCGTTGGTGTAGGCGATGGCCCTTTCGAAATGATGAAACAATTCGATGACAATTTACCAAACCGCGTCTTCGACAATTTCCAGTTCGTGAACTTCACTGAGATCATGCAACGTTGGCTTCCGCAGCAGCAGAAGGAGGCCAAATTTGCACTGGCAGCACTCATGGAGATCCCTCTACAGTACAAGGCAACTGTTGAACTTGGCTTATTGGGCGTTAAGAGAGGTCAATCCCCTGGGTTCAGGTCCCTTCCCCCGCCATCATGGGGTTTGCAGATGGATGGCCAAGCATATGATCCTCGTACTGGTGCTCCTCAAAGCCAGTCATTCTCGCGCATGGACAGCCAAAACTATGGACGTTCTTCACGCTCTCAATCTCCACCATCTTATTACGGCGACTATCACTCACAGCCTGCACCGAATTCTCATGGGCACTACGGTAGTTATCCACCTTCTTATGCTCCTCCCGTGTACCCTCCTTCTAATGCAAGGTATCCCCCTGCTCCACCTCCAGTCTACTCTTTCAATAGCTCAGAAACACCTGATGCAGAGGATATGGAATGCCCGGTTTGTCTCTTAGAGAATAAAGACATGGCTTTCAACTGTGGCCATCAAACCTGTGGGCAGTGTGCTCAATCTCTGACCCACTGTCCAACATGTAGACAACCAATCACGACAAGGATACGCCTCTACTAGATTGATGCTTAGGTTGCGGGTGAAACTCGTGACCCAATTGCGGTTAAGGTCCAGAATGATTGTGAACAATTCAAATACGGTGAGAGACTCGTGAGAGACCAGCATAACTTTAGTTCAAGGATAGTGTATGTATATTTCTTCTTAGCCACTTCAAGTGATTCTTTTTTTCTTGTAGTTTTGTCGTAGTAGTAGTATTTGCAAGAAGTGCCATGCTGGCCGCTCTACGATTCGGAATGTTTACGGAGGGATTACAGAGTAACCTCTGTTGTATATTATATGGTGAATGTATCCTCGGATTCATGCCAATGTAGCTTTTTTGAGCACACAAAAGTGAAGCTGCTGTCTTGGGTTTGGTTTAAACTTCTTCCAGAATTTCAGTCTTCCTAATGCAAGTCGATGGCATCTATATATGAGTTTCTTCGTTTGTAGTTTCGAGTTGTCGGTATTCTGCTGCAACACCAACCTTAAGACCCTGTATACTAGCTACCCTTGTACTCAGTTAATCACTCCCGATGTAGCATCTGACTTCCAAGTTTAGCGGTTTGCAAATTCATGCCAGATGAAAGGGGACGGAGAAGCGAACCTGCGGAATTGTGTGCTCTCCAAGATGAAGTCCACGAGAAGAATACATCTTGAAATGTGGGCATAGCTGATACGGAGAATTGCAAAAAGAAAAGGCATCCCTCATGCCCTTCATTCCGTCACAGCAGTTCCAAACGTCCTTTCCCCATCACTGAGGGATACAGACACAAAGTAGCACATTCCTGCAGCTCCAGTATCACACAAGCTTATTCCATCCAGTAATGAACTTCATAACTTGAACATCTGGACATTGCTGGACACATGAAGGCCATCAACACCTCACCTGAGAATGCAACACCGGCGATGGAGATGGCTCCAAGTGGACTATGCAGGGACGACATAGTCGTCAACATCGCACAACAACGAGCTTGTCATGATCTCAGTAGAGCTTGCAACGGTTTGTGGGTCATGTGTTGAGGCTGTCGTTTCAGACACAGTTTGTCTCTCCGAACATCTCATGCCACAGATTGCGAAATGAATCTAAAGATCATTATTTTTTTTAATGATAGTTACGATGGATGGGTGGATTTAGTAAAAACTTGGGTCTATTTAACATTTCTCCATATATATTGACAAAAAAATATATCCTACTGAAAAAATTGTGGTTGTGAAATATTGTATGTTAAATAGCAAGTAACAAATCATCTTTTATATGAATTTTCATTTGCAAGTATTAATTATCATTGATCCAAAAAGCCACAAAAGCTAACTACAAAGACTTCATATATTCAAACTAAATCAAGGAATATTATAAATTTGATTATATGCAATACCTTGATTAAAGAAACATTTATTAAGATAATATTATAAAAATTATTCAACCTATTAATGTATATATATATATATATATATATATATTAAAAATTAATAAACATAAGAAGCAAATACAAGACTTAATATCAACAAAATTAATGATATTTAATAAAGTAGTTATCAAGATAATTTTTTTAAAAAGAATTCAAATGATTGATATAATATAATAACATTAAATTATTCTTGTTTTTTACTTTTAATTATTATTTATATTTTTTTAGATGAATTAATATCATAAATAAAGAATTAAGACTAACTCAACATAATGAGCTTATTCTTTAAAAATTAACTAATTTATTTGAATAGCAATTAGACTAAATCAATTTCTTTTTTCCAAAATAGTCATTTCATAATTAATAATTTTTATCATTTTAAAAAATTTTAAATTAAAAAAATAAAAACCAATTAAAAATCAATAATAATTTAATATTTCAAAATTCTTTTTAACTATTTGATAAAATTATTTTTTAAAGTTTAAAATTCATTTCAACTGTGTTATGGCTAATACCATATTATATGTGAATGTGTATATATATATATATATATATATATATTCACACATAATTATTGAGTTTTAAATCTTTGTAGTAATCTAGTGTTTACATTACAAGTTATTTGGATAGATGTGGAATAATCCAATTATCTTCAATGTTTCTATTTTTAAAAAAGATATGGCATTAATTATAATATTATATATAAATTTTAAAATAGTAATAATAATAAATAAATATAAATATTAGAATACTTATATACTAATTTAATTTTTTAAAAATAGACTATATATATTATTGCATAATACGTGTAGATTCAATGATCTACTTAACATACCAAAATTGGATAGTTATCTCAATAGTGTTCAATCTGGACGTAATGTTTTAATACTTTATATACACAAGTTACATGATATAAAGAGTTTTTATCTTTATTTCACCATATTTTAAGCACTTGGTTTCGTTTACAACATTTTTTATGGGAAATTTCAGCATAGTAAACTATCTTTGAAAATATTCAAAGATAATAATTCAAACTGACTAACATAAATATATATATATATATATATATAAGGAATGGATAGAACTACTATATTTATAACTTAGAATAATATTCTAAGTTGAATTAGAAGATTGAAAAATGACAAAAAATTATGGAATAATATTGGCAAAGCATGAAGAAATTGCATAAAACTTATAAAGTCTATATTTAAATTAGATTAGTGTTTTAAATATGATAGATATCTAAGATATTTATAAAACAATTGAAGAAACAAGATAAGTTTCTTAAAAAAAACTTTATTTTTTTTTTGTATAAATAATATTTTTTTATATCATTCTGGAGGAATGTTGGTTTAACAAATCACCTACTTGTAGGATCTTTATCCAACTTTGTATAGAACATTCTAATTCCTTTATATATAAACCTACAATTTTAATATTTTAAAAAACCAATAATATATGCTTGATTATGTTGAATTTGGTCCTTAATACATTGTAGGAATTATTTTTTAAATTATTTTAGAATTTTTTATATTCAATAAAACTTTCTGCAGAAATTCAGCATTTTAAAGGATAAGAATAGAATCAATTATTACTATAAGAATAGTGGGAAAAAGATTAAATACCAAACAAGCACTAGATAGGCCAAAAACAACATAAAAAAGATTGAAAAATAAATTAAAAAGTTTGTAGAATAAGATCTAAAATGAATTAAATATGATGTATCAAAAACATCGTAAGTAATTTTTTAAAAATTTATAAAAGAGAAAAAAAAAAAAAAAAAAAAAAAAAAAATCATCCGTTATACATTTTGAATGTTTGTAGTTGTTAAAGGAATAATGTCTATATTCAACAAAGTTTAAAGAAGATTTTTATGAAATTTTTGTAATAAATCATGTTTGAAAAGGCCTTTAAATATAAGGAATTCAGGACTAAGTCACTTTTGTCACTCATAATCCATGATCTAGACAAATCAAATTAATAATCAATAGGCATGCGAACAACACAACAATGTGCTCTAAAGCCTACCTTGCTTTCAACTTTTAAGGTGTGAGGACTCTATACACTTTTTTAGTGACCACCTACACTAATCAACACATTGAACATACCCTGTTTGCCAAAAAGAAATAAGAAAAAAGAAACGGTAACAAATGCAAACTAACCCTGGCCCTGTTCACACGGACCACAAAAATTGTGGAAACTTTGGGAGCAAGTAACCACTAAAATTGGAGACAAAGCTTTGTGAGCACCCAAGGCTTGATACGTACAAACTCTTCATCCACAAAGCGTCTCTCAGCCGAGGTGCGGGAAGTTCTCTGCATAATCACACGACAAAAGCGGCAGTTTTGAGAAGACTGATACCACTAACACAAACGAATGGGGTCACTCAGATACACACACTGAGTTTTCAATGCTGCAGAAGAGAGAGGCTCTCAGATTTCATATAGGAATAGCCCACATTCCTCTCTTTTCTAGGACACAAAAATAGAGTTTGCTTAATGCACAGATTCGAAATTTTAGCATGAGACGATGCCCCTGCGGTTATGCCGTCCCTATTGTGGAATTCCATCGCACTTTCTAGAATCAAGTGTTTGTTACGCTCCGATTGCAAAAATTCAGGGTCCGGACCTAGTTGCTGCTCGATCCCAGCACCTGAATCCGGCGACCAATACACATTCCTTCACTTAGAAACATTGCGATGTGTACACTCGATTCGTTGCGAACTAAAAGCAAATCTGGGGATGTTCATAGACCCCACAAAATCTCGCGAGAAAAGCAGTGCAGGGGCACCAAATACCGTTACAGACTTCAATTCTGTTCTCTATCTGTTGAATCAAATGATCAGTCGTGTGCAATTTTGGGAACTTTCCTGGGTCGGCGTGTTTGTCACGCTTGCCTGTTTTGGCGAGATCCTTACCGACGCAGCCGGTTTTTGTCAGTTTAGATGACGACGCCGCGGGTCGAGGAAATCATCCTCGAGCGGCGATGGCTACGACATTCGATGGTTCTGTTCATTCAATTAAATAATTTAGTATAACATGCATTTGGCTGTTGGTAACAGCTCAAGAGAGTATCTTTGAAAATTTGGAGTTCTAAATTCAAATTGTGATATCGTTAATGTAATGAATAGAATTGGGATAACATTTTAAACGAATATGCTCATGAAATTTGCATTCTCTTACACTTTGTTGTAAATATTTTGGTCTAATTTGGCAATTTTTTTTAAAATTTAAACTAGATGTAGCATGTTGGTATCTGGATTGTTCAAGTAAGAGAATGTTTGTAACCTTGTGAAGTGTGTCAATTTGAGAGTATCAAATTAGAATGAATGTTGTTCAGAAGTTCTTAAAAGTAGATAAGGAAGATTCTTATCTACTATCAATGAATTCAAGAAATGACTTGAAGTAAAACATTGATTTAATATTATTTTTATTATTTTTATTTTATTTTATTTATTTATATGAAATCTTAACTTAGCATCCACTATTGTTACTATTTCATTGTTTTATTTGTTATATCATCTCATCAGTCATTGTAGGTGTTATGCTCAATTCCACACTTGTTAAACACAACCAAAAATATAAAAATATTATATATACACATATACATACATATTTTGGTAACAAGCATAAGAAGAGTGTTAACAATTTTAATCGGAACACTTAGAAATAGTGCATAGTGCATATTGTACATAGACTCAAGCTATAAGAACACTCTAATTTATTATATGCACACCTATTATGTTTATATGCACATCCAAGGCCTTTGATTTGCTGTTCAAGACCATCATTAAAATAATGAAGAGAGGGAGGAGGTTAGGGACCCACATTAGATTAAGTACAAGAAGGAAGAGGTTTGCAGCTCTTGTTAAGACAAAGAAGAGAGAGAGGAGGTCCAAGATCCGTATTGGAACAAAGAAAAAAGAATGTGGATCAACCAATCAAAGGCCTTGGATGTATATACAAACATAATGAGTGTGTATTGCAATTTGGAGTGTGCTTGTAGAATAAGCCTTATATATATTGTATATGTATGTATGTATATGTCTATATATATATATATATATTAAATATTGTCTTACCATAAGATTTTTACATGTCATTGGTAGTAATGTTTATTGCATTTTCTAATCTTAGTTTTTATTTTTATGATTGCATTACTTAGAGAATATTTTGAAAAATCATTCATGTGTCAAGTAATACATCTTCTAATGTAGAAATTATCAAGAGTTGATATAAAAAAAGATATTATTAGTACTACCACAATCTGCCATCAATTTTTTTGCTTTTGCTACCACAATTTAATATCAACTAAAAATATAAAATATATACATATATAGTTTAGTTTTTTATTTTATTTTATTTATATATACATATATATTTATTTATAGTTATATATATATATATATATATATATATATATATTGTTTTTTTTGTACCAATTTTAAAATTTTTAAAAACTAAAAGAACTTATAATGGCCTCAATAACATTCTAAAAAGAAGAAAAATAAAGAATTGAACTAGTATATTATAATTATTATTATAGAATATTTGGTAAGGATTTGTATGTATATACATATACATATACATACATACATACATACATACATACATATATATGTATTGGTTTAAATTTTGTTTTACAAGTTAAAGGTTTTTGTATTGATGGTTGTATAACTTTAAGGTTTAAAAGTCTTGCAAAATATTCTGAATTGATTCAACAATAGATAATGAGTAATCAAGACTCATTCAAGCCATTATTCATTAATTGTTGTTGTTGTTGTTGTGTTTGTTTGTTTTTTTTATTATTATTTATTTGTTTATATATATATATATATATATATATATATATATATATCTATTTTACAACACAAATTGTGTGCTCTATTTATACATACATACATAACATAAATATTTGAGTTAAATCATGTTTGGAGAAAACAATAAAAAAAATAAAATAAACCATGCCTTACAAGAAGTCTGAGTACATATTTGCAAAACAAGTAATTATTTTGGGACTATCTGTTACATTTTCAGTTTTACATAATGCACCCAATGTAGAACTCTCTTTTATTCTGGCATAGCCAAAGTAACATCTCAATCAATCTGTATTGTCACATTCCATTATGGTTCCAATTATTTAATTATTTTACATTCACTTGTTAATTTCTAGAATTCAATTCTAAGTTAGAATGAAAATCATATACTACAGCAAATGTTAGAAATAATTTAAAATGCATGTGCAAAATCTAAACTTGTAAAAGCTACTTGTGAAAGGAATTTGTAGAATTATTGGTTTAAATCTGTTCTGCATGTGGCCAACAGTAATCAACTTGTCACCATCCAGCAACTCATGCTACATTTGGCATGCTTATTGAGCATGTAAAATATCCAGACCATAATCTTAGCCCAGATTAATGCATCAAATTACTCCATGGCTTGTCCTGTTTAAAGAATTAAGGAGTTTTGTGAGATTAATTGAAAACCATTAGTTAACCCTGTTTTTCTGTATGAAGTCAATCTCCTCTCTCACCATCATCTCATCTCTCTTTGCCTCTCTCCCCACAGAAGCAGTGTCACTGTGATTTGGCAATTTTCCATTGTAAGTTTATTTTTGAAAATGTTTTCTTTAAATAAGGTTTTGAAGTTGGTGATTATAAAATTCAAGTATCTAATCAATCTACATCCAAACCCTGGGCAAAGATAACAACGAAAACATTGATACAACTGAGAAGTTTAAAGAAACATATCATTTAGTAACAACTGGTGGTGATTACATTAGTTTGGTACAAAGGAGTCACTTAAAAACAGTACAACTTGAATTCAAATCCACTAAAAATTCTAAGATATGCAATATTTATTTGAATATCTTTAAAAACTATAAAATGATTTTACTATATATATATATATATATATATATATGAGCATATATTAAGATTTGTTTTTTTGTTCTGCTCTATGCAAACATTCTGTTAATTTAACGTAGCTATAGAAACATATTGCTTTGTTTGAAATCTTAGAATATTTTCGTATTTATATATTAATATGTTGATTATAATTGGAGATGTCAAAATAGGAGAATGAGTAAGTAAAATAGGAGAATAGAGAAGGCAATTAAAAAGTTCCAACGTGGAAACTGATGGTACAAACTTTCTAGGTGGAGCATAAGTTTTGGAGAATATTAACTGGGCAAAATAAAGACATCGGCCCCAATTCAATTACAGCACGTTATGAGATGACTGCGGCCGCTGACCGACGCCGACTGACGCCGACTGCCGGGGGCAGCTGCGGCAAGTAAGGGTTCTGTTAACAGGCAGTATTCCATGCCCCTAATACGACCTACAGATGGCGTCAACTGTAAACTGAGTCTCCAACTGTATCAATGATGACGGCGACCCCACATGTCAAATAGGAACATTCCCTTACTTGGAGCTTACTCTGGCGATCCGCAACAAGCTTGCGTCGCGCGGCTTGTGCTTCGACGAACAACATCTTGTGATGCATGACATGGCACTCTCCTTGTTCACATCGATCTGCAAGTCGCCCAATAATTCGTGGGTACGTCAATTTTCAAGGTCGATACCCCTCGACGATAGACCTCCACGTCGAATGCTAAACCATTTAGCTGGGGTGTGGGAAGTTTTTACAGTAAGAAGAAGCTGCTGCAACGGAGATTAATCTCGTTAAAACAAGAAAACATAACAAGAGTTTCATTCTAATACACAGTAGATGCGGCTCGGAAAAATGCACGGGGAATTTGGTTTTGAACATTACCAAAGACCACATGCGTTATTCGAATGTTTAAGAATGCTTGGCGCTACGAATACCTCTTCTAGAAGATTGTGGTCGGCGTCTGAATTCACACAAAATGCCAGCGAATTTCCCTTGCTTGGATTTCACGCGAGAATATACTTGACTGCGCAGGTGGTCACAGATGGGAATTATAAACAGGAGTATGTGATCGAAAAATTCATTATGGCTACCTTTCTCTTTGATTTTCATCTTTGATATTATCTCCATCTTCGCGTTCTGCTTTTGTTGGGTACTGAAACTGTGTCTTGTAGATTATAGCCCTCCCCTCAGCGAAATTAGAAGTCGACGAGTTCGAGCACCAACTCACACTGTTAGTGCGACCCCTCACAACGTGCTGTTGTTGATTTTGTGAAGTGACTGAAGCGTCCGTCATATCCATCTGATATTTCATTTCAGTACCAAAATTGCTAGAGGACTAACGATTTTACCCGATTCACTCTTCTCTCGAACACACTCGCACTCTGCTCGCGGCAAATTGACAGTGCTTCGATTCCTAAGGACTCACAGTTCGAGGACTCACAGTTCGAGGAAACATGGAAGACGCCACCAGCATTAGCTACTATAATCCGCCTCCTTCACGTCCCTGGCGCCCGAACTCGACAACCGGTGCAGATAATAGGCCCGCAGGAGATGCAGATACTAGACTTGCAGGAGATCCAAGAGAGCGCAGCAGGGCCACAGGAGACGCTCACCCATCGCCGCCACCAATTCACGACGAATAGTGAGATGGCTGCGTTGCCATCGCTCCTCGGACACACTCTCCATGCAAGTGACCGAAGTGCATCAATACTTCGTGTTCATGGGCGGCCTCTTGCGAGCTCGCCCTCATCTAGACGTGCGGATTGCCGTGGGCTTCTCAGCCTCAACTTTTGGCTCATACCACACGAGTCACACCGAATTTCAATGACGGACTCGAAAAACGCACGAGAGTCATTACGCATCGCTCCGCAGAAGTAAACCTGCGCCTTGTTCCGTTGTACTCAAGAATGCTAGGCGAGATACGGAGAGCAGCACGTGCTTGATCCCGAGGTCACAACAATTCGACGACGTCTTACCACGGATACTTAGCAGACGGAGTGGTGCTCAAATCCTTCCCCTTCAGTCACACTTGCGAAGTTGGGTAGTAAGCAATAAGCTTCCAATAGGTCGGATCGAAGTGTTGTCGTGTCTGGAGATGCGCTTCAACAGAGTGATGAAGGGTCGGTTGTGTTTAAATGCACAAGAAACCCAGTTGTGTCTAGGATTTAGCTAGGGGCAAAATAAATGAACCCTCCGATTGCGGTTGTAGTTCTGCGATTCGTGAGCTGAAATTGTGGATTCATAATAAAATTTGTCCAACGTTTTCATACTTTGGTCATGATCTTGTGTTGTTCATTGCGAGGCGGGATCACAACAACACAAATTGGAGGGCTTTCGCAACTTGTGATCCGTATATGCCCGCCTTGTAAAGTCCACCATCGTTGGTCTCTTAGAATACATGTTTGTTCGGACAAGCCCGACGCTAACCCTGCTCTCCTTTTGCTCCATATATTGAAGTGTCCCGTCTGGAGGCCAGAGCCGTGCTCAACAGTTGACGCCTTCACGCTCGATTTCACTAAAACAGCTTGCCTAGAGCTCCCTGTTCACCTATCACAAATAAGAGCAACGATAGAGTTCTGCATGGAACTCTGCACCGACCCCTTCTTCCATCTTCTCGAGGCTCTTCCAGAAACCTCTGTCACCGTCCTCGAACGCGGGCATTGCTAGACAGATTCGCAAACGAAATTTCGCAGAAAATGAGCCATTCACCAAATTTATCTCCGTTTACGAACGAATTGTATCTAGACTAACCTACAAACCTCAATCAATTGCTTGACACACCCCAGTCGTGTTCTCGAACAGATCCTAACATTACAAGTTTGTACGAATTTATTTAGAGAAACGACCAATGTCGCAATGTTCAATACCCCAGACAGATAGATACTATAAAAATGCTACAACTTTTATCACGATGCTGAGCATCTAACTACACACATGTACAATGAGTGACGACGATGATCTTCACCCTCGCACATTCAAGCTCGTCATGTACAGGTTCCGCCCGATTAAACTCTAGCAAAACAGCAGGCACGAGATCATTTGATTAGTCTCGCACCAATCATTTAATTTCCACTGACCTTACTAAGCAGAGCCTTCCCAGCTTCCATGGGGTTAGGTAATCCGATGCTGTTCTTGGCGTTCTCCACAACGTCTTGTGCAGTATTTGATGCAACTCCCTGAGTTGCGCGATTTGCAGCATCGCCTGCAGCGTTCTTAGCGTCACCGACAACGTCGGAGCTGGCAACATTGCTCAACTTACTCTTGGCATCGCCTACCAAATCCTTGGCAGAGTTCTTTGCGCCACTGGCAACGCTTGAAGGACCACTCAAACCATCGCTTACCTAGGACTTAGCATCAGCGGCCATGCCCTTGGCGTTGCTAGCAACGCTGCCTGCATCAGGCATTCCCATTCCTCCCATGCCAATCTTACTCTTGGCATCTCCCGCCAAATCCTGAGCAGCATTCTTGGCGTCGCCGACGATGTTCGATGCATCGAGTACACCATTCTTCAAGGGATTCAGCTCACCAATCTTGTTCAGGGAGTTGGACACATCAGGCAGTCCGACATCAGGTACCTTCAACGCCTCCGCAACATTGACGCCGGAGCCGCTGGCACTTCCTTCTCCCAGAGGTGTTCCCGTGGACGAAAGCTGCCTGGTGGCTTGGTTGTCTCCGACCAAATTTCCACCAGCGCCTTCACCGAAGGGCGTGCCAGAATTGGCTGATCCTCTGGTGCCCCATGTTGTTGCCGACCTTGGTTCCAGTGCCTTCGTTTCCGGGGAATTGTGGGGATGTGGCGCCCCGCTCGACCTGGATGTCATTGCTGAAAAACCCAGCTTGTGCGGGAGCAACAGGAGTAACATTCAATGCGAATGCTGCTCCGGCGGCCACAAGAACCTTTGATTTCACAGGGGCTTGTTCCTGCCAAAATACAGAAACAGCAATTCTATGACATTCTGAACAAAAATGACACAAACAACACTCCACGCCATGCATCATTATTGCATCACAATACGTACATAATAATAATCGAGGTTAGCGCAAATTCAGAACCAGAAAACTGTACCTGACTTAAATTATCCACAAGAGAAACGTATCCATGCCATCTAGACTCTAAGTCGCATAAATCCAATGCGCGGCATCTTACCTCAGAGGACTGGCTAGCCCTGGCAGCCACGACTCTGGATGCGTTCGAGTTCACGGGCGACCGCACAGCAGCCAGTTGCTGAACTCCGGACGATCCAAAAGCAGCGTTTGAGGGGAGCATGACTGCAAGTGCAGCCACAGAGCTCGACAGTGACATCGCGGTGGACATGGAGGCCATTCTTGACACAGGTGAGGATTAAATTATCAACGTAGAAGTACGCTAAAGTAGAAAGCAGAAGATCGTAACCTAAATCAAACAGCTCAAGAAGGCAAGTCCTGTACAATGAGCTGATTTCGATTGAAGAGAACTGTCGACTACCATCACTATATATCCCAACGCAGCGAGTGAGGCAGTATCAGCTCTAATCAGAATCCAAGCGCCATGCGAAGACGTGGAGGTGCTCCACTTGGCGATGAAGCTCAAAGTGATTGGATGGAGCTGCAGCGGCGCCATGTGTCGAGGCGGTTGCAGTTGGTGTGGGCTCACAGGAGCAGCGATGAATCGGAGAGAGTTGATAGGATAGTGGCGATGCTGTGGTCGCCATGGAGAGGGTAGAGCCGTCGATGGTGAAGGGCGGAGTAATAGTGCCAAGTGCAAAAAAGCGAAGCCCAAAAGCACGGCAGAGCTATCAGCTCATCCTTGGGGCTGTTACTAGAGGTTATCACCTGCCACGTGCAATTCCAAAAGTTAAGGTGTTTGATGAAAATCTACGCGCAGAAATTGGAGCCGCCGCATTCGCCAGTTCTAGCAACATTCTCCCAAGTGACTTCAACATACTTGCCCACCCGTCAAGGCACAGGAAAAAAATACCAATACTCCATCAGGAGCAAGCAACTTGCACAAAGATTTTCAATAATGAACCCTGCGGTCAATCAAAATCCTGTCAGAAATACTTACGACTTCCATTTCATGAGATTGAAAGCTATATGGATAAGAAACTGCTGATTGACCCCGTCCCCACCAAATAATATCTAGGAAGAGAAAATATAAAAAACTTACCATGTATGTCATCGAATCATCCATTTTCACGAACCACAACCATCCGGAGGAAACTAACTTGTTTGCGAGTGTAAGTGCTAAGGAAATCGGCGCAGCAGTTCCGAGTCGAAAGGACTGGAAGAAACTAGGCCATCTCGAAACACAGTCGTCATTAACCGGACCAAGTACCAGACACACAGTGTAAGTGAAAAGAGCGAGGGATTTGATCTCGTAGCATGGAGAGACGAGGAGAGGTGAGAAGGGGCGCCCAAATAATCAGTGGTGCGGAACGAAGAGGCGTTGAGCGCATCCGCAACATCGGCATTCCGTTGGTCCTCACCATCCAAGGTGCTAACGTATTCCCTGCGAACGGACCAGGAATCACTGGCGGCGGATCGCTCATCGTCGGAGCAATGCAGGGAAGCAGAGGCATCGAGGGCAGAAGAATCAGGAGGGCGGGTGGCAGCTGAGTCAACACCGACGAGAATGCTGCAGTAGATAGCGAGACCGGGGTCGAGCCGTAGAGAAATACAACAAACTCAACAAAAATCGAGCAGGAGGCAGCGACATTCAAAACTCAGCAAAATTTGAAACCATAACAATTAAACAATTAATCAATTAATTGCTAACTGGGCTTGAGCTTGTGATTGCAACAGCACGCAGTTTTGATCACAACTTCGACAAAGGGGGGGCCTTATCTGTGTTAGGATCCATCCAGAAACAGTCCTCCTAGATGTTTAAAACCCGGAGCCCTTGTATCTGGTCGCACATTGCTGCCTGCCTGGCCAAAGGAATAGGTGTTAAGATGTATGAAAATCAGAATCAGGAAATTGCATAAGATGCTGGCAAAACGGCCTTGCTCAACACTTAGCTACAAAATTATATATATGTTTAAACATCACAATCGGTCCAAATGCATCCTAAAATCATAAAATGCATCCTTAAGATATAATGAGGGCAAGGATAATGGGGACATGATGAAAGATGGACGCTCAGGTTGAAGAATCAAAGCTTCAAATGTGAAGAAGAAAAGTAGATTAACATCACAGTACCCAGTGAACAAGACATCACTTTCTCACTGAGCCAAGGATTTGCCTACAAGAAAGAACCAACCACAAACACAAACAAGGCTTCTTCCAACGCTCACGGGATCCGAAACTTAAACATAAAATCTGAAGGAATTTACTTACACCCACTATCTTGATCACCGCTGAAGTTCAATTGTAGACCTTACGGTGCGACTTATATGAACCCACATTGTTAATCACCACTGAGGTTCTACTCTAAACCTGAGGGCGCGAGTGAGTTCCTTCCAACCGCACGGGAACAACTCCCATGCATCTCTCGGATCCATCTCCCCACATTCGGTGTGGTCCTCAGAAATGTCTGGATGGCGCCGAGATCGCAAGAGACTGCCCGTGAATAACAAGCACCCACGCAATTCGGTCACTCGCTTGGAGAGCACATCCGACGCTCCGAGAGCCACGCGACTGTCTCACTTACGTCGTAGGGTGGCAGCCTCCGATCTGAGAGCGACCTCTAAGTCCACATTGCATAGCCTACCCTCACCTACATCAGCAGATGTTGCAGAAAGCTGGGCGGTGGTGGCGGCCACAGAGGGCGAGGGTAGGGTTATAGACGCTAATTGTGCTTACATCTTCAGAATCCATGCTACCAGCCACTGTGTTTCCTGCGGAATCAAAGCACCGTCAATCTGCCGCTAACATTGCGAGAGTTTCTTCCAGAATAGAATGAATCGTGCTGAGGCTACTTCTAGAAACGTTTCTCCCGAAGAAGAAAATAGATAGATTATGGGCAAGCTTCAGACAGGAAGAAAACCAAAGACAGCTTTGTTATGAACTAAACTTCCAATGAGAAAGTGCCGAAGTAAAGACAAAAACCCAGGGAGACTGCATCTGTGGGGAGAGAGGCACCGGATGATGGTGAAAGATGAGAATGATTTTATACACAAAATAGGGTTAACTGATGGTTTTAAATTAATCTTACAAAACTCCCCTAATCTTTGAAACAGGGCAAACCATGGAGTAATTTGATGCATTAATCTGGCCAAAGATTATGGACTGGATATTTTACATGCACTACAAGTATGCCAAATGTAGCATGAGTTGTGTGAACTAAATAAACCTCCACTAGCTAGCTGGACGTTTATTCTAGTTCACAATGAGTGAATTAACTATGTAAATTTTAAAAGTCATAGCCATTAATTAAATTCTAATCAACTCACTCTTATTCTTTTTAATTAATTCCAAGCAATGGAGCCAAAGCTCTATTGCCAACTCAAACTTGTAATTAATAAGTCCCTTGACAAATTACATGAAATAAAAGATTCTTATTAATATGATTTTATTTTTTATTTTATTTATTTATTATCTTATTTAAATTTTTATTTAATTAAAATTCATCTTTAAATAATAATTCATCCAAGTATAATAATTCATCTAATTAATTTCATCTAATTAATTTTAGGTCTATTGCAATCTAATTCCATCCTTCCAATGCTCCACTTTCATTGTTGCAATATTCTTCATAGTTGGTCGGTTGTTACAAATATCTTGGCCAAAGAAATTGGGTGACAATGGAACTGTAAGTTGGCCTAATATACTAGTGATTGCTAAATGGCGCTACAAAGAAAAGCTTTTCCTGACAACTCTCAAATTGAGAAACATGATACAAAAGTTTAATTTCCAACTCGGTGTCCTAATTCAGACCATGCATTATCCCTCCACACTCACGTTATTGTCACTGCAAAATAATAACTACTTGGAGGTAATCTTCTTCTCAACAAATGCTCCCTCACTCAAAGAGATTTGAGCAACATACTATTCCAACCACAGTTGCAAATTTAGAAGTGAAGAATAGGCATCCTTTTGATTAAGCCTAGTTGCTTGTATCAATGAAAGTTTTACTTGCCAAAATATGCTTCACTTGAGATGAATTATTAAATTCTATTCTTCTATAGAATTGTGCTCATACTCAAAAATTGAGTAGGTTCTTGACCAACGTGTTCAAATAAACATTATCCAAACTCAAGCCTCAGAAAAAATCAACTTCCTATATCAAGTTCTCCACAATCTATTGTTCATGATCATCTATCATGAGAGAAATGCTTCATACCAATTACTTTCCAAACCTCTAAATCTTTGGGAAATAAAAAGAAACAAGAATAGAACAACCACAACACGTGACTTTTCTACACAGACATATACAACATCGTCAAGGAAATGCTGCTTAAAAATCCACTTACATTGGAATTTTTCAACAACCTAGAGAAAAAAAAATTAACACAAGAGAGTACTTGGCTATTGTAGCATCACTCCGTTAATGTCAAATCTATAATCTTCCGCTTGGTTTTGTGCTCGTTGTGGGAATAGAGAGAATTTGGCTTAAGAAAGTGTCAGGCTTTTGGTTGTCACTAATCTAGATACTAATATTTCTTGTGTACCTACACCAAGTCTATATATTAAAATTGTTCCTTTAGAGGCAATTACATCAATATATAAACCTTAAGTACCAAAGATCACTCAGAATGTGATAAAAATATCATAAAACTCATATATCCTTAAAGTGAAATCTTCTCAAACTTCAATAGTCCATATCTCACAATCGGACCATCCAAACTAAATAATATTTTACACAAAGTATTGATGTACTTTCAACAACTACCACAACAAGTTTCAACTACAAATTCATTATGGATCTTAAGATATTACTAAAATCTTAATAATAGCTTCAAACCCTTGCTTACATACATCTATGTGCAATTTTCTTCATATCTCACAAACTAAGTACTTAAATACCATAAATTTTTGATATGTAGCTTCTTAACCTAATAACACACACTTTTGGAAATTTTGAGCCAAAATTATGTCCAAAAACTCAAAATATGGCTCCAACCACTACTATCAACAAAACGACTCACTTACTACCTTTGAATTACATGTGTTGCTTCAATGCTCTATAACTCCTTCATAAAAATTTCAAATGCAAAAATTCTTTTGCAAAAAACATAGATGTTAAAGTCATCCTTGTAGTTGCTTCTCTTGATCTCCAAAAGCTATTGTAAAACTCTTTGTATCCTCAAATGAACAACAATATGTCTTAAAAAAATACCTTAACTTTAAACAGCTATAACTTCATCATCTTAACTCCAAATCCTCTAAAATTTGTACACAAATTGTAGCTCAAATTCTAAACCTTATAATCATTTCCTCTTATTTTCAAATTTTTCTTTTAAAGTCGCCAAAATCCTTCTTATGGTCGTGGATAGCCTCCTGAGAGCCTATTGGGTATGGCCTTCGATCAATAAGAATGAAGATCTTCATCTCCTACCTTCATCCATCCATACCTTACTTTCATCCTTCCAAATAAGTTTTTTAGAGGTTTGAATCTTCATCTTTGAATTCCAATCTTTTCTTTAAATTTTATACTAAATATCTAAATTTTATATAATTTAAACACTATAATCAAAATAGGTAAACATCGAAATAAATTTTCTTACATCAACTCTCTTTAAATTAACCTACTAAACACTCTAATACACATTACGACTTATAAATATATTATATTTTTTAGTTAGTTTTTATATACTATAAACAATTATAATACAATACCATTCCAATTGAAAGAAAAGAATAACACAGCCGAATGCAATATCAATCCACACCATCACACATACAATTCATACTAGAAAAATAAGATCCATCCAATGCAAAGCTCTTCTAAATACATTTGCATTGTCAACAATACAAATCACTAGCCACCGCTTTTGCTTTTCTAAACTATTACTGTTGAGCCTCTACCACACAAAGACTAATAAAGACTATTGTTCAAAGACTATTGTTCAAAGACTATTGTTCAAAGAATTTGACAATAGACAAGACTGAAACAAAGTCTTATGTGTCCAACTCCAAAATCATTTATATTAGTAAAATATCATATTTAAATTTCTTTCTATTTAATTCCATCTAGCTACATTGTAATAGAATTATTTTGAATCATTAGTCTAGTCATACACTAGGCAAAGATTCTTCAATTCTATCTTAGCCAAATCCTTCTATTAGTTATTCCTTACATTGAAATAATTTATTATTATTATTATATATATATATATATATATATATTTATTTTGATATAAGTAAAGAAATTATTTATTAAATATAAAATAAAAATACAATCAAATTGATCAAATTTAATTGACCTTATTTACTTATAAAACTATATTAAGATATATTAGACTATTCTTATATTGACTAATTTTTATTTGAAAACCTCTAAGATCCAAGTTGCTACATCCTTATTGTTATATTATTGATTTTTGAAATTCTATAGTAATTATTTTTTATTATTTAAAGTCTTTTTTTTTTTTTTTTTTTTTTTTTAAACTTTCTTTATATCATTTGCGTATAGAATCAAAATTTGTTGTTTATTTTTCAAAGAGAGTTGGATATATTGGATCTTCTTTGCCTTAGTTTTTTTATATATTATCTTATTTAGGACTTTTACCGAGGACATTGCTTCCATTGAACTTTCAATCCTTCTTTCTAGACTTTAATACAAAAGTTTTACAATAGAGTACCTCTTTAGAGGAGTCAGGGACATCTTTGACTTCAATTAATGCATTAGAGTGGAATATTAGTAGCCTGCATCAACAACATGTTCTCATGGAAGTTTAATAAATTTTATTATAGAAAATATTCAATGGCATGATGCTTGTCATGACCAACAATAAGAGAAGATAGATATTAAGAGCTCTTATTCGGATGGATTCAACTTAAAGCCACTTGTTAAAAGAACTCACAATAGAAATTAGATTTTAACACAAAACATATATAATTTTTTGGATGCATATTTGTTGATTGGATCTTGTAAAATATGGCTAAGTAGCCAGTGACAACTCTAAGATCTACCTCACAAGCATAGAAGTCTTTCAAATAATGTGAGTTGAAAAGAGAATCTAGATACTAATATTTCTTGTGTACCTATTAGCAACACATGCTATGCAAATAAGATGACAATTAAACATGGCTATGTAAATATTGAATTTCTAGATATATCATTAGTTTTACATTACATCTCCATGACAATAATTTCAACCTGACATTTAAATCATATATATGTGATGGCTCTACCGTGCCTACTAGTCTTAAAAAGCTAGTGTATTACTTTTAAAAGAGAGACATCCAAATCTATGTCATATCCAATCAAAAGAATATATATATTTATGTATATATATATATATATATATATATATATATATTTGACTTTGTAGTAGAATCTAAATATAAAAAAAATGTTTCATTCTTTAGGTGCATTAGCAAAGATACTATATAGGGCAAATAAGAAAACATCCATACATTTTCTTCCCATCTTTCATGTATGGTTGAAGAAATAAGACATATATAATAAGCCACTCAACTCTCTAATGCTTTCAAGGCTGTCAAATTGTACTATAGTCAGAAAGAATTAGCATAAGAAATTATTAAAATATCAATTATTTCAATGCTTATACTAGTACATATGAACAATGCATCAAACAACTAGCATTCAATAAAGTAAGCACCACAACATCACTTCTACTTCTACTCTTGAATACAAATTATCATTGTGTTGTAGAATGTATAGAACCTTAATGACTAGACAAAAGTAGACATAATATAAAATTATTATAGTACATACATTTTGAACGTAGATTTTTTATGCTTCTATAAGTACATGTTTAGAAATTATTTTATATATTAAAAACATGTTAAGAACCTTATTTTTTTTAAACTTTGCTTATATCATTTACTTATAGAATCAAAATTTGTTGTTTATTTTTAAAAGAGAGTTGGATACATTGGATCTTTTTCAAAAAGAGTTGGATACAAATATATATATATATATATATATTCTTTTGATTGGATATGACATAGATTTGGATGTCTCTCTTTTAAAAGTAATACACTAGCTTTTTAAGACTAGTAGGCATGGTAGAGCCATCACATATATATGATTTAAATGTCAGGTTGAAATTATTGTCATGGAGATGTAATGTAAAACTAATGATATATCTAGAAATTCAATATATACATAGCCATGTTTAATTGTCATCTTATTTGCATAGCATGTGTTGCTAATAGGTACACAAGAAATATTAGTATCTAGATTAGTGACAACCAAAAGCCTGACACTTTCTTAAGCCAAATTCTCTCTATTCCCACAACGAGCACAAAACCAAGCGGAAGATTATAGATTTGACATTAACGGAGTGATGCTACAATAGCCAAGTACTCTCTTGTGTTAATTTTTTTTTCTCTAGGTTGTTGAAAAATTCCAATGTAAGTGGATTTTTAAGCAGCATTTCCTTGACGATGTTGTATATGTCTGTGTAGAAAAGTCACGTGTTGTGGTTGTTCTATTCTTGTTTCTTTTTATTTCCCAAAGATTTAGAGGTTTGGAAAGTAATTGGTATGAAGCATTTCTCTCATGATAGATGATCATGAACAATAGATTGTGGAGAACTTGATATAGGAAGTTGATTTTTTCTGAGGCTTGAGTTTGGATAATGTTTATTTGAACACGTTGGTCAAGAACCTACTCAATTTTTGAGTATGAGCACAATTCTATAGAAGAATAGAATTTAATAATTCATCTCAAGTGAAGCATATTTTGGCAAGTAAAACTTTCATTGATACAAGCAACTAGGCTTAATCAAAAGGATGCCTATTCTTCACTTCTAAATTTGCAACTGTGGTTGGAATAGTATGTTGCTCAAATCTCTTTGAGTGAGGGAGCATTTGTTGAGAAGAAGATTACCTCCAAGTAGTTATTATTTTGCAGTGACAATAACGTGAGTGTGGAGGGATAATGCATGGTCTGAATTAGGACACCGAGTTGGAAATTAAACTTTTGTATCATGTTTCTCAATTTGAGAGTTGTCAGGAAAAGCTTTTCTTTGTAGCGCCATTTAGCAATCACTAGTATATTAGGCCAACTTACAGTTCCATTGTCACCCAATTTCTTTGGCCAAGATATTTGTAACAACCGACCAACTATGAAGAATATTGCAACAATGAAAGTGGAGCATTGGAAGGATGGAATTAGATTGCAATAGACCTAAAATTAATTAGATGAAATTAATTAGATGAATTATTATACTTGGATGAATTATTATTTAAAGATGAATTTTAATTAAATAAAAATTTAAATAAGATAATAAATAAATAAAATAAAAAATAAAATCATATTAATAAGAATCTTTTATTTCATGTAATTTGTCAAGGGACTTATTAATTACAAGTTTGAGTTGGCAATAGAGCTTTGGCTCCATTGCTTGGAATTAATTAAAAAGAATAAGAGTGAGTTGATTAGAATTTAATTAATGGCTATGACTTTTAAAATTTACATAGTTAATTCACTCATTGTGAACTAGAATAAACGTCCAGCTAGCTAGTGGAGGTTTATTTAGTTCACACAACTCATGCTACATTTGGCATACTTGTAGTGCATGTAAAATATCCAGTCCATAATCTTTGGCCAGATTAATGCATCAAATTACTCCATGGTTTGCCCTGTTTCAAAGATTAGGGGAGTTTTGTAAGATTAATTTAAAACCATCAGTTAACCCTATTTTGTGTATAAAATCATTCTCATCTTTCACCATCATCCGGTGCCTCTCTCCCCACAGATGCAGTCTCCCTGGGTTTTTGTCTTTACTTCGGCACTTTCTCATTGGAAGTTTAGTTCATAACAAAGCTGTCTTTGGTTTTCTTCCTGTCTGAAGCTTGCCCATAATCTATCTATTTTCTTCTTCGGGAGAAACGTTTCTAGAAGTAGCCTCAGCACGATTCATTCTATTCTGGAAGAAACTCTCGCAATGTTAGCGGCAGATTGACGGTGCTTTGATTCCGCAGGAAACACAGTGGCTGGTAGCATGGATTCTGAAGATGTAAGCACAATTAGCGTCTATAACCCTACCCTCGCCCTCTGTGGCCGCCACCACCGCCCAGCTTTCTGCAACATCTGCTGATGTAGGTGAGGGTAGGCTATGCAATGTGGACTTAGAGGTCGCTCTCAGATCGGAGGCTGCCACCCTACGACGTAAGTGAGACAGTCGCGTGGCTCTCGGAGCGTCGGATGTGCTCTCCAAGCGAGTGACCGAATTGCGTGGGTGCTTGTTATTCACGGGCAGTCTCTTGCGATCTCGGCGCCATCCAGACATTTCTGAGGACCACACCGAATGTGGGGAGATGGATCCGAGAGATGCATGGGAGTTGTTCCCGTGCGGTTGGAAGGAACTCACTCGCGCCCTCAGGTTTAGAGTAGAACCTCAGTGGTGATTAACAATGTGGGTTCATATAAGTCGCACCGTAAGGTCTACAATTGAACTTCAGCGGTGATCAAGATAGTGGGTGTAAGTAAATTCCTTCAGATTTTATGTTTAAGTTTCGGATCCCGTGAGCGTTGGAAGAAGCCTTGTTTGTGTTTGTGGTTGGTTCTTTCTTGTAGGCAAATCCTTGGCTCAGTGAGAAAGTGATGTCTTGTTCACTGGGTACTGTGATGTTAATCTACTTTTCTTCTTCACATTTGAAGCTTTGATTCTTCAACCTGAGCGTCCATCTTTCATCATGTCCCCATTATCCTTGCCCTCATTATATCTTAAGGATGCATTTTATGATTTTAGGATGCATTTGGACCGATTGTGATGTTTAAACATATATATAATTTTGTAGCTAAGTGTTGAGCAAGGCCGTTTTGCCAGCATCTTATGCAATTTCCTGATTCTGATTTTCATACATCTTAACACCTATTCCTTTGGCCAGGCAGGCAGCAATGTGCGACCAGATACAAGGGCTCCGGGTTTTAAACATCTAGGAGGACTGTTTCTGGATGGATCCTAACACAGATAAGGCCCCCCCTTTGTCGAAGTTGTGATCAAAACTGCGTGCTGTTGCAATCACAAGCTCAAGCCCAGTTAGCAATTAATTGATTAATTGTTTAATTGTTATGGTTTCAAATTTTGCTGAGTTTTGAATGTCGCTGCCTCCTGCTCGATTTTTGTTGAGTTTGTTGTATTTCTCTACGGCTCGACCCCGGTCTCGCTATCTACTGCAGCATTCTCGTCGGTGTTGACTCAGCTGCCACCCGCCCTCCTGATTCTTCTGCCCTCGATGCCTCTGCTTCCCTGCATTGCTCCGACGATGAGCGATCCGCCGCCAGTGATTCCTGGTCCGTTCGCAGGGAATACGTTAGCACCTTGGATGGTGAGGACCAACGGAATGCCGATGTTGCGGATGCGCTCAACGCCTCTTCGTTCCGCACCACTGATTATTTGGGCGCCCCTTCTCACCTCTCCTCGTCTCTCCATGCTACGAGATCAAATCCCTCGCTCTTTTCACTTACACTGTGTGTCTGGTACTTGGTCCGGTTAATGACGACTGTGTTTCGAGATGGCCTAGTTTCTTCCAGTCCTTTCGACTCGGAACTGCTGCGCCGATTTCCTTAGCACTTACACTCGCAAACAAGTTAGTTTCCTCCGGATGGTTGTGGTTCGTGAAAATGGATGATTCGATGACATACATGGTAAGTTTTTTATATTTTCTCTTCCTAGATATTATTTGGTGGGGACGGGGTCAATCAGCAGTTTCTTATCCATATAGCTTTCAATCTCATGAAATGGAAGTCGTAAGTATTTCTGACAGGATTTTGATTGACCGCAGGGTTCATTATTGAAAATCTTTGTGCAAGTTGCTTGCTCCTGATGGAGTATTGGTATTTTTTTCCTGTGCCTTGACGGGTGGGCAAGTATGTTGAAGTCACTTGGGAGAATGTTGCTAGAACTGGCGAATGCGGCGGCTCCAATTTCTGCGCGTAGATTTTCATCAAACACCTTAACTTTTGGAATTGCACGTGGCAGGTGATAACCTCTAGTAACAGCCCCAAGGATGAGCTGATAGCTCTGCCGTGCTTTTGGGCTTCGCTTTTTTGCACTTGGCACTATTACTCCGCCCTTCACCATCGACGGCTCTACCCTCTCCATGGCGACCACAGCATCGCCACTATCCTATCAACTCTCTCCGATTCATCGCTGCTCCTGTGAGCCCACACCAACTGCAACCGCCTCGACACATGGCGCCGCTGCAGCTCCATCCAATCACTTTGAGCTTCATCGCCAAGTGGAGCACCTCCACGTCTTCGCATGGCGCTTGGATTCTGATTAGAGCTGATACTGCCTCACTCGCTGCGTTGGGATATATAGTGATGGTAGTCGACAGTTCTCTTCAATCGAAATCAGCTCATTGTACAGGACTTGCCTTCTTGAGCTGTTTGATTTAGGTTACGATCTTCTGCTTTCTACTTTAGCGTACTTCTACGTTGATAATTTAATCCTCACCTGTGTCAAGAATGGCCTCCATGTCCACCGCGATGTCACTGTCGAGCTCTGTGGCTGCACTTGCAGTCATGCTCCCCTCAAACGCTGCTTTTGGATCGTCCGGAGTTCAGCAACTGGCTGCTGTGCGGTCGCCCGTGAACTCGAACGCATCCAGAGTCGTGGCTGCCAGGGCTAGCCAGTCCTCTGAGGTAAGATGCCGCGCATTGGATTTATGCGACTTAGAGTCTAGATGGCATGGATACGTTTCTCTTGTGGATAATTTAAGTCAGGTACAGTTTTCTGGTTCTGAATTTGCGCTAACCTCGATTATTATTATGTACGTATTGTGATGCAATAATGATGCATGGCGTGGAGTGTTGTTTGTGTCATTTTTGTTCAGAATGTCATAGAATTGCTGTTTCTGTATTTTGGCAGGAACAAGCCCCTGTGAAATCAAAGGTTCTTGTGGCCGCCGGAGCAGCATTCGCATTGAATGTTACTCCTGTTGCTCCCGCACAAGCTGGGTTTTTCAGCAATGACATCCAGGTCGAGCGGGGCGCCACATCCCCACAATTCCCCGGAAACGAAGGCACTGGAACCAAGGTCGGCAACAACATGGGGCACCAGAGGATCAGCCAATTCTGGCACGCCCTTCGGTGAAGGCGCTGGTGGAAATTTGGTCGGAGACAACCAAGCCACCAGGCAGCTTTCGTCCACGGGAACACCTCTGGGAGAAGGAAGTGCCAGCGGCTCCGGCGTCAATGTTGCGGAGGCGTTGAAGGTACCTGATGTCGGACTGCCTGATGTGTCCAACTCCCTGAACAAGATTGGTGAGCTGAATCCCTTGAAGAATGGTGTACTCGATGCATCGAACATCGTCGGCGACGCCAAGAATGCTGCTCAGGATTTGGCGGGAGATGCCAAGAGTAAGATTGGCATGGGAGGAATGGGAATGCCTGATGCAGGCAGCGTTGCTAGCAACGCCAAGGGCATGGCCGCTGATGCTAAGTCCTAGGTAAGCGATGGTTTGAGTGGTCCTTCAAGCGTTGCCAGTGGCGCAAAGAACTCTGCCAAGGATTTGGTAGGCGATGCCAAGAGTAAGTTGAGCAATGTTGCCAGCTCCGACGTTGTCGGTGACGCTAAGAACGCTGCAGGCGATGCTGCAAATCGCGCAACTCAGGGAGTTGCATCAAATACTGCACAAGACGTTGTGGAGAACGCCAAGAACAGCATCGGATTACCTAACCCCATGGAAGCTGGGAAGGCTCTGCTTAGTAAGGTCAGTGGAAATTAAATGATTGGTGCGAGACTAATCAAATGATCTCGTGCCTGCTGTTTTGCTAGAGTTTAATCGGGCGGAACCTGTACATGACGAGCTTGAATGTGCGAGGGTGAAGATCATCGTCGTCACTCATTGTACATGTGTGTAGTTAGATGCTCAGCATCGTGATAAAAGTTGTAGCATTTTTATAGTATCTATCTGTCTGGGGTATTGAACATTGCGACATTGGTCGTTTCTCTAAATAAATTCGTACAAACTTGTAATGTTAGGATCTGTTCGAGAACACGACTGGGGTGTGTCAAGCAATTGATTGAGGTTTGTAGGTTAGTCTAGATACAATTCGTTCGTAAACGGAGATAAATTTGGTGAATGGCTCATTTTCTGCGAAATTTCGTTTGCGAATCTGTCTAGCAATGCCCGCGTTCGAGGACGGTGACAGAGGTTTCTGGAAGAGCCTCGAGAAGATGGAAGAAGGGGTCGGTGCAGAGTTCCATGCAGAACTCTATCGTTGCTCTTATTTGTGATAGGTGAACAGGGAGCTCTAGGCAAGCTGTTTTAGTGAAATCGAGCGTGAAGGCGTCAACTGTTGAGCACGGCTCTGGCCTCCAGACGGGACACTTCAATATATGGAGCAAAAGGAGAGCAGGGTTAGCGTCGGGCTTGTCCGAACAAACATGTATTCTAAGAGACCAACGATGGTGGACTTTACAAGGCGGGCATATACGGATCACAAGTTGCGAAAGCCCTCCAATTTGTGTTGTTGTGATCCCGCCTCGCAATGAACAACACAAGATCATGACCAAAGTATGAAAACGTTGGACAAATTTTATTATGAATCCACAATTTCAGCTCACGAATCGCAGAACTACAACCGCAATCGGAGGGTTCATTTATTTTGCCCCTAGCTAAATCCTAGACACAACTGGGTTTCTTGTGCATTTAAACACAACCGACCCTTCATCACTCTGTTGAAGCGCATCTCCAGACACGACAACACTTCGATCCGACCTATTGGAAGCTTATTGCTTACTACCCAACTTCGCAAGTGTGACTGAAGGGGAAGGATTTGAGCACCACTCCGTCTGCTAAGTATCCGTGGTAAGACGTCGTCGAATTGTTGTGACCTCGGGATCAAGCACGTGCTGCTCTCCGTATCTCGCCTAGCATTCTTGAGTACAACGGAACAAGGCGCAGGTTTACTTCTGCGGAGCGATGCGTAATGACTCTCGTGCGTTTTTCGAGTCCGTCATTGAAATTCGGTGTGACTCGTGTGGTATGAGCCAAAAGTTGAGGCTGAGAAGCCCACGGCAATCCGCACGTCTAGATGAGGGCGAGCTCGCAAGAGGCCGCCCATGAACACGAAGTATTGATGCACTTCGGTCACTTGCATGGAGAGTGTGTCCGAGGAGCGATGGCAACGCAGCCATCTCACTATTCGTCGTGAATTGGTGGCGGCGATGGGTGAGCGTCTCCTGTGGCCCTGCTGCGCTCTCTTGGATCTCCTGCAAGTCTAGTATCTGCATCTCCTGCGGGCCTATTATCTGCACCGGTTGTCGAGTTCGGGCGCCAGGGACGTGAAGGAGGCGGATTATAGTAGCTAATGCTGGTGGCGTCTTCCATGTTTCCTCGAACTGTGAGTCCTCGAACTGTGAGTCCTTAGGAATCGAAGCACTGTCAATTTGCCGCGAGCAGAGTGCGAGTGTGTTCGAGAGAAGAGTGAATCGGGTAAAATCGTTAGTCCTCTAGCAATTTTGGTACTGAAATGAAATATCAGATGGATATGACGGACGCTTCAGTCACTTCACAAAATCAACAACAGCACGTTGTGAGGGGTCGCACTAACAGTGTGAGTTGGTGCTCGAACTCGTCGACTTCTAATTTCGCTGAGGGGAGGGCTATAATCTACAAGACACAGTTTCAGTACCCAACAAAAGCAGAACGCGAAGATGGAGATAATATCAAAGATGAAAATCAAAGAGAAAGGTAGCCATAATGAATCAATTGATCATTTTGCCCTTCTTATAATCCCTCGTTTTGGCCCTATAACCCCTCGTTTTGTCTAATTTTAGAATCAAGCATTTGCAAGTTGTTTTAGACCGTTTCCCGTTCGCGGAGAAATGCCGTTAATTTCGATGATGGGATCGCTTTTCGGCCGTAAATATTTGCTTTACGTGTCAGTTCTCTCTTTCATCCTCGGTTGTCCAAGAAATGCTTACCAAAACAAGCATGGAAGTGGGCATTGATTTACAAATCCGAAAACAGCCGCGCTGTTAGCACCTGGAACCTAAGCATTTCTTAGAAATCCCCCGTGTCGTAGATGGCAACTACAATCTGTGTAGAGTTACTTCGCACCATCCAGCTATCCGGCGCAGATGGTTGAGAAGTCTGTACACAATGTCTGTACACGTTGTGGCTTGAATGATACTCAAAGTTTGCAGCCTTGTTTCGGAGGCTGCCGTTGGTTGTCACAGACCGTTCGTTGAAGCTTAAGCAGAGCAACTCAGGGTTTATTAGGTTACCGTGGTCGTGGCAAGCGTCAAACCCTTGGTATGTCATGACACCAAGGGCATGGGTAAGTATCTGACCGACATCAGCAACAGATTGGAATGGTGTAAATTGACATTTACGATGTTTTGAGTGGAGTTAATCACTCGACAGGTACGCGAAATGGCCTACATTGTTATCCAAATATTTCCTGTAATTCTCCTCATTAGTGGCTTCTTTTTCTTTTTCCTTTTATGACGCAGCCGGAACATATCCAATGAATTGAATAGATCGGAGCAACGGAATTTCTCTCGAATGAAGCATCGAATGCGGCTTCGAGTTTTTTAACGAACATTGGCATCCACAACCAACGTTGACCGCACTTGACGGCACACATGATTGCGCTAACCGTGGGGACCAACACATTAACTAAAACCAGAGGTTCGTTAAGATTGTTCGTGCCCCTGCTGGCTCTCTTTTGGTAAGATTGTGTGGGGTCCAGTAAATGTCGCCGCACTCAGGTAGTCCGTCAGCACAGCAACGGGATCAGTGCCTCCACCCATGCCCAATGGGTGGACATTGTTGTTCTTAACCATTGCCAGCATCCGGCGGTGATCCCGGCAAGACATTTTCCCGGCCTCACTTCTAAAAATAACGATGAGAATCATTATCAGATCAAAAAAGCAGGAAATTCGTTATCAGCTACCAAACCCACTGTTATAACTAATTATGTGTTAGACAGTGTTTTAGAGAAAGAGTGACGAGAGTACCTAGAAGTAATATGCACACATATGTAAACACACATACATACAAGAAGTGAGATTATTGATAGGATTATATCACTTATACAAAGAGAAGGAGAGAAGATAAACATTGTTTTTCTACTACATTCCAAACATTGTAGCTACAATATATATTGTAAACTACAATAAATAGTATGGAGAGTACCAGCTACATTTAATGCTCTCTCTTCCTTGCTTGTCATAATATATTGTGCATAGAATTTTGATCTATACTTTTTTGTAATCTTGTAACTTCAATAACTACTACCTCTCTAAAATCTTATTTAAGAAAACCATATTATATTTAAGAACAAAACCATAGATGAAAGAAAAAGAGTATAATATTATATGAAGAGTTTATCAACCTTCTTGCTCAAGAAAAATAAGTCGCCGCATGCCAATGCCATAAGTAAATCAATGACGGTTGTAGAAAAAGAGAGCTTTGGTGAAGAGATTAGCAACGTTATTTACAGATTCAATTTTCTTGATCTTAAGTAATTGATTAGTAATCAAATCATAGATATAACTAAAATACTTTGGATCAATATGCTTTATCTTATCTCCTTTAATAAAACCACTTTGCATCTGTGCAACATAAGTGCTATTATCTTCATACAAGATAGTTGGAGAATCATCATATAAAAATCCATAGGTTGTCTGAATGAGTTTATTGATTGATTGCAACCAAATACATTCCTAAGATGCTTTATGCAAGGTAATAATTTCTACATAGTTAGATGAAGTTATAATTATAACTTGTTTCATTGATTTCTATGATATTGCAGCTCTATGTTTTAAGAATACATAGCCTATTTGAGATTTAGCTGTTGCAATATTAGATTTATATCTTGTATTAGAATATCCAACTAATTTTGGATATGCAAATCATATGTAATATAATCCCAAATCTTCAGTACCTTTTAAATAGTATAGTAAATATTTGATGCCATTCCAATGTCATAGTATTGGATGTGCATTGTGTCTTGCAAGAACACTAACTATAAATGTAATATCTAGTCTCATAGATGTAGCTAAATATAAAAGTGCTCCAATCACTGCGAGGTATGGATATTGCTCTCATAAAATTTCTTCTTCTTCCTTACACGGATGGTATGGATCATGATCATCACGAGTAGGTCCAACCATTGGTATGGACAATAGATAAGCATCAACCATATTGAATCTTTGTAAGATTTGTCTAATATATGGTAATTGGTAGAAAAAAATTCTACCATCTGTGAGATGCATAATCTGAAGACTAATGCAAAAAGTTATTTTTTCTAACATTTTCATCTAAAATTCATGTAAAAGTAGGTTAGTAGCTGCAATACATGCAAATCTAGTATCCACTACATTAAGATCATCAATATACACATTGATGATCACAAAATCAGTTTTATCTTGTTTAATAAATAAATAAGGGATTAGTAGATCACTTACAAACTTATTTATAATTAAATAATCTTAGAGATATTGATATTACATGTGTCCAAATTCTTTTAGACCATACAAGGCCTTGTATAATTTAATACCATGATATTGTCTTAAAGTAGGTGCATTTGGAGTTCCTGTTTTCAAACTAGGTGGAACTTTCATATAAATATTTGTATTAAATGAATCATACAAATATACACTTACCACATCTATGAGACGTATCTCAAAGGTGGCATGAACTGCCATTCTAATAATATATCGGAATGTAATTGAATCCATGACTAAAAAATTTGTGGATTCATAATCAATACCAAATCATTGGATAAATCCTTGAGCAACAAGACAAGCTTTATAGCAGATTATTTGATCCTTAGTATCTCGCTTGTGTACTAATACTATCTTATATCCCACAGGGCAAGAAGTAAGAGTGTTCAAAATTGGACCAAAGACTTTTTTCTTATGCAAAGAAGCATATTCTTCTTTGATGGTACTTTTTCATTTTAACCAATCAAAGCAATGCATCACTTCCTAAATGGTTTGAGATTCAAAATCTTCTTTCTCGTAAGAAAGAGCTTCTGCCATCATAAATACAAATGATTCATCTATTATAATAGATGGTCTATTCCAAAGGTCATTTGTAGCACAATATAGAATAGATAATTTTGTACTCAACTTTATTTTATTCCTCCTAATTTTAAGATTTTCTATAGCCTAAAGTGAAGGTATAATATGCATGGACATATTGCCATTAATTGATGGTCCCATAGTTTAGTAGGAACTTCTACAAAAATAATACCAAAATCACCACATGTTATAGCTTTCTTCTTTTGTGGTTGCTTATTTGATCTATGAGTCCTTTTAATTGCTAATATTTTAACTTGAAGTATATTTGTTAATGGTATTGTAATTTGAGTGGATTCATTTTGAGCCTCATTAATTGGAACTCTTATAATCTGAGGCATATCATTGAAGCCATCAAGTATTTTATTTGCAATCCATTTTAGATACAAAATCTTGGCAACTTCACTTTCAGCTAAAGATGTTCTAAGATCAAGATTCATTGTAAATGTTTTTGGTACTCCAAATACAAGTAGTGTATTTCTTTGTTGATTAAATATTCTTCTTTGAAGAGATGGAAATGTATTCTCTTCAAAACAACAATTTTAGAAACATGCATGTAATAATGTGCTAGTTGATAGATCAATTATATGAATAATACTTAATGAATCAAAACCAATATATATGCCTTCTCGTTGATAAGCTCTAATTGTATGCCATTGAGGTTTTGGTATTGGAATCCAAGTACAATAATCAAACATCCATAAAAGAGATATATTTAGAATACGACTTAAAATGAGCTCTTGTGGTATAATAATTTCAAGAAAGAAGAGAGAGACATATTAATGCTGCAGCATGCAAAACTGCATGACTCCACATAGATGCAAGTAAATTTGCATGAAGAAGGAGTGGCCAAGTAATGAGTTTTATATACTTTATAAATAACTTTGTAAGTCCATTTTGAGCATGTTCATATAGAACACAATATGCCAATTCAATCCTTGTTGTAGTACAATAGTCTTCAAAGGACTTTGATGGAAATTCTTTTGCATTATCCATATACAATGTTTTGATAGGATAATCAAGAAAATGTGCTAAAAAATAAATAAGCATAGATATAAGATTAGCAAATATCATATTTTTGAGATGATAATAATGAAACATGTGATTGTTTGCTTGATGCATTAACAAAGACCAAAAAATAACGAAATGGTTCAGATATTGGATTAATAGGACTACAAATATTACCATGCAATCTTTCTAGCATTGGTGGTAATTCTTATGGAAGTTTCCAAATTAAAGACTGAGCGATCATCTTATCTTGCACACATGTATGATGTAATTTTATAGAATCTATATTTTTAGGTCTTAAATTATATCCAATTATACATAGAATTATCTTTCAAAATAATATAGATCCTACATGTTCCAATCATCCATGCTAAAGAGAAACATGACTCTCTATAATAAATGATGCAAAATTAAATATAATAGGAGGCCAGATTACAATCCAATATAAACCATTTATCACAACAAAGGCTTTTTCTATAACTTTATGGTTCTATTTAAGAACCAAAACCTCCTGCCTATCTAGAATTATAGTTGAGAGGTGATAACCATTGGCATGCATATCTCGATAGCTGATGAGACTCCAAAGTATTGAGAGTGCAAACATTACATGTTCATATTTTATGATAGAGCCCGTAGGCAGTTTTACCATTATTGATCCTTCTTAGAAATAAAACGTATTTATTCCAGCCATAGTCATTAAATTTTTAGTTTGCTAAGTTGAAGATTTTTTAATAAAAAATTGTTTATCCCTCAAGATAGTATGTGTTATTGTAAAATCAATGAATACATTATTTGATTCATCATTAGAGGTTTTGTCATTCACATAAGCCTCTAAATCATCAATACTAATTGAATCCATAGATGCATCTATGGTATGAGCTTCATGAGCCTCAGCTCAAAGTTTCTTATTTTTTTGGAACATTTTAACAAAGTGTTTTGAAGTATATTATGCATGTGCCAAATGTCCAATCATTCCACATTTATAGTAAGAATGCATCTTTGATTTATGTTTTCTATTATAACTAGTTGTAGAATATTTATTCTTTCTATATGGGTGAAAATAGTCATGACCATGATTGACTTGGTACTTATGAGTATTTTTTCCATGTTTGCATAATTGTTTCTTAGACTTTAGAATATCAAGTACATGATATTCTAGAACCGAGGTTCCAATAAGACAAGCTTCTGCATTATGCAATAGTAGCTTGTTTTTTTTCTTCATAAGAATTAGATAGGACATGAGATCATGATGACTTTAAAATTTCATATTTCTATATTGTTGTATAAGTATAGTTAATGTATGAAGAAATGTAGAGATAATTTTTTCAATCATTTCTTTTTCAAAGATGATTTGTCCACATATCCATAGTTGCGAGACAATACGATATATTTCACTACTGAAAGCATTTAAATTTAAAAAATCCAAGATACTTAAATGTGTCCAATCATGAGATGCACATAGAAAGAAAATGGTCTTTTGATGATCAAATCTAGATTTAAGATTCTTCCAAAGCTTGGTTAGATCTTGCATTCCTAAATATTAATGTTACAATGCACATTCAAGATGTTGACAAAGGAAAAGAAGTGCTTTCCAATGAATAGCAAGAGGAATTGAAGTACTTATAGTAAGAGATTCTTCAAATAGATTTGTATTTGATAGTTGTTCTGCAAATAAATTTATTTTTACCATTTTTATCCATAATAGATAATTTTTTCCATCAGCAACCAATAGTGAAAATAGAAGAGCTTAAAAATGTTGAAATGTATTGGTGATAGTTGAAAACATAGTAGAGGTAGTTGAGGATGTTGAACCACTCATTATAAATAAATTTATGAACAAAAATATAAGTTCATGAAGAAAACGTTGAAAAAATGTATCTTAAAATATAAAGCCAAGTAGAATGATAAAATTGGAACTTAAAATCAAAAATGTTAAAAAAATCATTTAGTTTTTTTTTTTTTTTTTTTTAAATTTATTTATTCCATAAAAAATAAGGGTATGCGGTAGAGTGAGGAAGGATGCATCAGAACTTGGTAACTTGGTAATTTGATAAAGTCTAAGAAACAATTATGCAAACATGGAAAAAATACTCATAAGTACCAAGTCAA